AAGTTTCCCATGTTGTGGTAATACCTATTACCATTTTTTTCTGTTGTTATCAATGCAAACATCTGACATACAGGTGGTCCTAGGCTACCCTTATAAAAGGATTTTGTTTTTTTTTGTTCTTAAACCTCCAAAGTATTGAGACCCATGGGCTTAGAAGCTATTTTAAGCCCGTTGTTAAACTTAGATCATTGTCTTATATAAGAAATAAACATCTTAATTTCTGGTTAACATATGGAGCTTATGGCTGTGATCTTAAATTTTAGCTCTTTAAGTACAAATTTTAGCTCTTTAAGCACAAATATCTTATAACCTAATAAATTTAAACATTTTAAAAGCTGTTTTAAAAACAAGTAAAAAACCTCTAATGTCTTTTTGCAATATCAAAAATAAAGCACCCTTTATGTATTTAATACTATTATTACCTGGGTGACTGTCAAATTTATGTTATCAATTTCCAGTGTTACTAGTTTTAACCTTTTAACTAGTTTTTTTGTTTGTTTGCTTGCTTGTTTTGTTTTTATTTTAAGACAGGGTTTCTCTGTATTGTTTTGGAACCTGTCCTGGAACTTGCTCTGTAGACCAGGCTGGTCTCGAATTCACAGAGATCTGCTGATAACAAAAATATTTAAACCATTTTTGTTTTAGCTCTATGCTTGTAATAAAACTTACATTCATACCAGAAAACACAGATAGAACTTTTTAACAAGCATACATAATTTTCTTTTGAGAAATAAACAGAAGTTTGAAACAGAATTAACCTGGCATGGTCAAAATTCTTAACCCATATTACCATTTTTTTAAATGTAGTAATTGTGCTGGGTGTTGGTGGCGCACACCTTTAATCCCAGCACTTGGGAGGCAGAGGCAGGCGGATCACTGTGAGTTCGAGACCAGCCTGGTCTACAGAGTGAGTTCCAGGACAGCCTCCAAAGCCACAGGGAAACTCTGTCTCGAAAAACCAAAAACAAACAAACAAACAAACAAACAAAAACAAAAAAAATGTAGTAATTGCAGATATGGGAGCCCACAGTAAAGAGTTTACATCCTCCTCTGACACTTTTACGACTTTTCTTTGACCCTCTTTAATTTTTTTTTTTTTTACATTTCCTTCTGCTCTTTCTGAGTCCCTCAGACATCCCCATCTGAGACGAATCTCTCCTTTCTCTGTCTTTCTTTTCCGCTCTTCTCGGTGACTCTCACCAGGTGCATGGCTGAAGTGAACGCCTCATCTTCTCATTTTCCTCTAGGTCCTGAGTGCGCCTCCTCAGCACGCGCCTCTCTGCATCCTCGGCTCTCTCAGCAGCCCGTTCCTTTTGCTGTTTGTGTGGGGTTTGCCAGTCCTCCTTTCATGTTGTTTCAATAACTTTGTAAATTTCTTGCCTCCTTACAACTCTCCTGGGTCTGGCCAGTCCTTTCTCCTGCTCTACCTTTTATTGCCCGAGAAGCAGAGTCGTCCCCTCGGCAGCTGAAGCTCTCTCCGATGCTCTGTGCTGCGTTGGTGCAGTCTGTGCACACCCGAATTTGCACCCCCATCTGACCTGCCCTCCATACCCACAGTTTTATCACATTGGGTCTTTGCATCAGACTGATCATTCCAAGTCTGCACACAGCCATCACATCTATGCATCTGTTTAGCCCCGTTTCTCCGCCTCAGTCCTCAGCAGGAAACAGTGTTTCCCTGTACTCCCTGCCCCCACAGGAAAACTTTATACAACTCTTATTTTCTTACTATTTTTTATCCTTTACCAAAGTCCCTCTTTTTCTTAATTAATAATAATATGCACCAGTTTTTTAAAATAATGACAAATAAATGTAACCCATTAGGTTTAAATGACTAAAACCCACATATATATATATACATATATACATATATATGTGTGTGTGTGTGTGTGGTGTGTGTGTCTGCGTGTGTGTGGTGTGTGTGTCTGCGTGTATATATGTGTGTGTGTGTGGTGTGTGTGTGTGTGGTGTGTGTGTGTGTTTTCCTTGGAAGCAAAAGCATCATTTTTTAAAAACATAATGTATCTTTGGCTTTTATTTTAAAGTCAAAGCTTCCCAAAGTATACAAACTGGCATAATTTAACATGATTTGGCTTAGGAAGAAAGGGAGGCAGCGCTGGTGGGCACAAAGAGTCCTTGGCTGCCAGTGTTTCTGAAAAACACATTTTTATTACCCTAATAATAATTTGTAACCAACCCTTGAATCTGAGCGGCCGGGACAGCCCGGCTGGAGGGAAGTCTGGCTACAGTGTGATACCTGGGCCCTAGCGCTAAGCCAAGCCTGTGGCGACCGTGGCGACAGGAGGGGGGTGCGGCGAGCAACCGAGCTGGTGAGCGCCAACTTTGGGGGACCCTGGCTTTCCTACTGGCTGCATGGTCTCTAAAGGTCCACTGGGCAACACTCCCGGGGTGCTCGGCCCTGATGGCGCCCCTCCCTCTAGCAGTCACAGGCCGGCTGTGGCCTCAGCTTCCCAGGAAGGATGGCTGGCTGGGCGCACCCTCGGGCATCTTTCTCCCGAGGCTTTGTCACCCGTGCAGCGCCAGGGACAGATGGCGGTGGAGGATGCTTGCTCCCTGATCGCCTGCGGGGGGGGGTTCCGTCTCTGCGTCTCAGCGCCCGCCCGCCCCTTCCCAGGCGCTTTTGCCCAACCCAACGAACCCAGTGGCCGCTCGGCCGCCGGGCGAGGCTCCCAAGGAGGCGGTAGTGCTGGCTGGTGTCGGCCAAGCTTATCGCAGGGCCAGGAGCCACGGGCGCTGTCCTCCGCCAGGGGGCGCTGTCCTCCGCCAGGGGGCGCTGTCCTCCCCCAGGGGGCGCTGTCCTCCGCCAGGGGCGCTGTCCTTATCCAGACAGACTGTCACTTCCCACCTGGAGCCACTGCAGCAGGAAAGTCTCTGTTTTTCAAAGGGGAGGGAGGGACCTGTCCTGTTAGATTCTGTCTGAGTCAGCGTCTGTCAGGACAAACAAACTCAGCACTGAGACAAAGAAAGGGCCCACGTGTACCTAGATTCTTAGATTTACCTAGACACCTCAATTGAACTCCTATTTTACCTAGACAGTCCTCAGTTGCACCCTGTTTTACCTAGATTGCGGGTTTGATCCAACTCTCAGTTGAATACCTGCCCTAGACAGGAAGTCGGGGACGTCTCCTGCTTCCCCAGGCCTGGCTTTGTAGGCATGTCTGCCAAGCCCTTGCCTGCTACCTATTACCTGTTTTGCTAGCGTACCTAGATGCCTACGAGTACTTCGATTCCTTAGAAGAACATGCACTTAATAGGCAGACACAAAACAATTACTTACCCATCTAGTTGGAACCCCGGGAGTTCTGAGTCCTTGGAGAGTCCTGGATTCAAAATGTTGTGCTAGGTTTGCGGAATCCCAGAGATCACCTCTGATACAGAAGCAAAAGGTTCCATATGCTCAAGGTGGCCAACTTGGTCTCTTTCCAAGGTGGAGGAAATGAGATCCCAACCAGCCAAAAAGAGAAGCTTTTAAGGGGCAGACCATAAGGTTGAAGGCCACAAATTTCAGTTTCCATGGTTACTTAAGGTCAAACAAAGTACAGAGTCAAGCAGTAACTATGTATTTTAAGGAACATACATTTGAGTGAGATAAGACAGGGCCTGGGCTTGCAGGTTTACAGGGTCACAGGGTCTGTTAGCTATCCCCTGGACCAAGGGATCTTTATGGTCCAGGGGACCTTTATGACCAGCAATTAGCAAGGAATGTTAAGAGGAGTGGGGGACAGTCACCTCCCCTTCTCTGAGAGCAGGGGCTCAGGCCAGCCATGGCACTCCTGATTAAAGAGTTAAATTTTCCTTTACCAATAGAAGTTCCCTTTCTCTGTATAGATTTGGGGCCCAGGTTTTTACATTTTTATTAATTTTAATTTTTGGTCTCTCAGCACAACAAGCCAAATTGGTATTGTGATCAGGGTGTGGCTGGAAATCTGGAAAAGTGTACAACCCCTCCAGATGTCAGACCTGTTAAAATCTCCCTCCCTTGGCCCAACAGACAGGAAGTCCCTTCCAACCCCCAACAGAAAGGATTCTCTTGTGATGTTTCCTTTGTGGTTTGGTTTCGGGTTTTGGAGTGTGGGACGGGCAGAGGCATATGTCTAAAGCTGGGTCTCATGCAGCCCCAGCTCGACTGGAACTTCACATAGAGCTGAGGCAGGCCTTGAACTCCTGTCCTCCTGAGTGCTGGGGTAGCAGGAGTGTAGCCGTCCTCCAGACCCCTCTCTGCATGTCCTGACCGGGGCCCACCGTCTTTCTTTCTTCAAAACACGATCCTAGCACCAGGCCATGACTCATGGTAACTGTGTGTCTGCCCCCCCCACCTCGCCCCCCACCCCCGCCACTGCAGGGCCGCCACTGGGTGCCTACTGCGTACTGAAACACTTGCGTACCTCAGGGTCCCTCTAGGAAAGACGGTCCTTCCCACTCCCCTTCGCAGAGAGATTGCTCTAACCTGGGTGCCAGGTGTCCCCGCCAGGGCGCCGCGGGTGCCAGACAGGAGCCAAACGCAGCAGCGCGGCCTCCCTTGCCTGCCCGTCTCGGTTTCCTGCTGTGCACCCTCGCCTCACAAACCAGAGGTCCATGGTTCTTCGTGGACCAAGGGGCTCCAAAGGTCGCGACGCAGACCGCTGGCCACAAACCCTGGCCTTTGCCCTTCGGTCCACTCAACCTTGCAGCCTCGGTTTCCTTACCTGGAGACCAAACCGACAACTACTATGGGTAGCCAGGGCCCGGAGGAGTCCCAAGCACACACGCGCCAGGCACCGGGTAACTGGACACAGGGGGCCAAGAATTTGCATTTTCCAGAGTTTTTGTTTTTTTGTTTTATTTTGTTTTGTTTTTCCTTCCAGGGTGATTCTGCAGCAAGCCTCCCCTCACTAGGCCAAGAGGAATGCCTCCCTTCCAGGAAAATGAAACCGAAAGGCTGCCTTTCCTCGGGAAACTAGCAGATACCCCAGGACTGCTCTGGACTGCCCCTAGGCACTCTAGTTACTATTGGCTAGAGGAGGGGATTTATGCTAAGCAGGGGCGTGACCTCGAGAAGGTTCCAGAGCCCTCCGAAGCTCCCGGCTCGAAAACCACATGGCACCCACACTCTACCACTATCTGCCAGTGCCCATGGATAAGAAGGAGCAGGGACTGGGCATCCGCCCGCGGTACCTGGTGGCCGCAGCCGTGGCGATCGTAATCCAGGTGATCCTGGTCACCCTGCTCGTCTTGTACGCCGTCAAGGCGAGCAGCGAGGCCTGCAGGGACGGACTGCGGGCGCAGGAAGAGTGCCGCAACGCCACGCGCCAGCTGCAGCGGCAGCTCACCCGCTCCCAGGACAGCCTGGTTCAGGCAGAGGCGCAGGCGGGCACCTGCAACCGGACCGTGGTAAGGCTGGAACCGTCCCCGCCAAGGCCCCAAGTGACGGGAGGGGGGCTTTGAAACCGCCAAGCAAGTGCCCCTCCCCCCGCATGCCAGCGACTGGGGACCTTGAAATCCAGAGAGACCTTAGAACTCCTACAACTCCGAAATCCGCCTCAGTGTCCTCCCTTCCAGGACTTGGAGAGTCTCCAGATTTTGTGGAGGGTGCCGAAGTTGGAGAGCTTGAAACTAACTTAGGGGACCAGCACTGGGGCTTCCCTGGGAACTTCACTCAGCCCTGATGACCGAAACTTTTTTTATTTTTTGAGACAGGGTCTGGCTACTTAGCTCAGACTGTCCTGTCCTGGGAGTCACTCCGTAGATCAGTGCACAGAGATCCCCTGCCTCTGCCTCCCGAGTGCTGGGACTCAAGGCATGCACCGCCGCCAGCAAATTTTTGAAACTTTGAATATCTCTCTTAGTGCGGGAAGCCCCGTTGTGTTGCGTTTGGGAAGGACTTGCTAAATCTGTGTGAGCCGCAGACCATCTGGAACTTTCGAAGAGGGCTTGGTTATGAAGAGCTTTCAAATTCCCGTGGTGGGGGTGCTTAAAACTGCCATTTTGGAGATGGCAGTTTATTGGTAGGACTGGTGGAGGGTGCTGGAGGGGAACCAAGAAGACGTTTGTTTGGGTGGAAGGTCCTCTGATGACTTGGCCTGGAAAGTTTCTAGGGACCAGGACAATAGCCAACCTCAGTTTCTGCCCCTTATCTGACTCAGGTGACCATTCAAGATTCTCTGGAGAAGAAGGTGTCTCAGATCCAGGAGCAGCAAACTCGGATCCAGGAGCAGCAAACTCAGATCCAGGAGCATAAGACTCAGATCCAGGAGCAACAGGCTCACATCCAGGAGCAGCAGGCCCACATCCAGGAGCTTGAGAGTGAGGAGGGGTGGGGTGGGGGGAGTGCAGGGGGCCAGGGGAAGGGGTGGGGGAGTGCAGAGGACTAAAGGGGGAACAGAGCAGACAGGCCTCCAGGTTGGGAGCTGGGGAAAGGTGGTGGCCCAGAGTGAGGGGGCCTCAGAGCTACGGCCAGCTGCTCAGGAATCTGCGTTCTTCCAGAGACAAACTGAACACTGGTGGATCACTAGAAGGTCCCACTGGCCCTTCTACAACCCAGCGGAGGGGCCTCAGGCTGGCCCTTCATCCTGCCCCCCCCCAGGGCCATCCTGGGCCCAAGTGACCGGAGGGGCTTGGCCTTCCAGCTGTTACCTTGGGTGCTGTCCCTGCCCTGTCCCTGCTGCCTCCCTTGCTGCCCGCTCGCTCTGTGGCTATGCTGACTAGTCCCCTCTGTGTCACTGCAGGCCAAGTCAAGAAGCTGAACCAGGAGCTGAAGAAGCTGAGGTTAGAGACAGCTGCCCCCTTCCTGCCCCCACCTCCTCCCCTGCCACTCTCCACTTCCTCAAGGCTGGGGACCCTCGAGGCTCACAAAATCCACAGCTTAGGTCTGAGCTGTGAAGAAGTTTTAGTGAGGAGAGCTTGTAACACTAGCTTAATGACCTGAGTTCAAATCCTCAGCACCCACTTAGAAACTGGCTGTAGTTATATCCGTAGCTCCAGTACAGGGGAACAGACAGAAATATCGTGGGGTTTACTGGTCAGCCTGATTAGCCCAGGCAGTAAACTTAATGTTCAGGGAGAGACCCTGTCTCAAAAATTAAGGAAGAGGCAGGCAAAATTGTAGCCTTCCCAGTTGCATAATATAGTCCGAAGTTCATTACTAAAATAGTAACAATAACAACTGAAACAATATAAAGAAATGACCCAGAGACTGATATTGGCTGAGGATCAGGGAAACAAAGCAGCCAAGCTACCAGGGAGCCTCTACCAGGGCTGCGGCTGGAGAATGAACGCCTGATACTGACGACTGAAGACCCTGCTGCCGTCTTATACCCCTCTAGGGCGGGATTAAAGGCAAGAGCTCTGTTCCTCTTTTAGATTGATTCAATCTTGTGTATCCCTGGGTGGCCCTGAACCCAGGGAGATCTGTCCACCTTTTAACCCTGAGTCCTGGGATTACAGGTGTGCACCTCCACCTCCTAGCTTCTGGCTGCTGGGATTAAAGGTGTGTGGCTGGCTTCTGTGGCTTGTGGCTGACTTTGCTTTCTGGGTCCTCAGGCAAGATTTAATAAATCATAAATAATATATCACCATAAACAATAAGAATAAGATGGTGCCGGGCACAATGCACATTTTAAAGTGTCCCGCACTCTGGAGGCAGAAGCAGGGGAGCCCTGTGAGGTCTAGGCCAGAACAGACAAGGCTATAACAGAGAAACCCTGTCTCGGAAACCAAAACATCAAAACAAAAATCCTCAGAGGGAATACATCCCTAGGGCCACTGACATAGTGACCAATTCAGCTCCTTCCTTCAGGAACATGGCGGGGCTGCCTAGGAGCCTCAGCCTGGTGACACAGGAAGAATCTAAACCACTAGGGAAGTCTCAGTCCCAGGCTCTGGCTGCTCTTGCAGAGGGCTTGGTGCTGCTGGTCCCAGCAACCAGGACACTGGGTAGCTCACAACTATCCATAACGTCGTTAGTCAGCTATGTGAACTCCACACCTCTGGACTGTGAGGACACTGTACACACACACACACACACATGCATGCACATGCACGCACGTGCACACACACATGCACGCACGTGCACACACACATGCACGCATGCACGCACAATTAATAAAAATCGGCATGTGGGGTGACTCAGTGGGTAAAGTGCTTGCAGCACAGCCCTGTCAAACTGAGTTTGATCCTGGAACTCACATACATGCCTCTGACGCCACACACATGCACACGTATATACTCTAAATAAAATATAATAAAAATTTAAAAATGAAAATAAAACCTTAGTAAAGGAAATGTCATTTTGAAATACTACGAATAGGACTGGGGACCTGTTGGACCCCTGCCTAGAATGCCCCAGTGAGGGGCTGGGGGTGTGGCTCAGGGGTGGAGCCCCTGCCTAGAATACCCCAGTTTCAAACCAGCACAGAAACATTTAAAAAGCAGACATATCATCAGGGGTCAGGTGACCTCTGCCTGAGTCGTCCTCTCTCCCTCCAGGACCGCACAGGAAGCTTCTAGCACACAGCAGAAGAACTCTGCCAGCTCCATGGTGGTCTCCAGCCTCCTGGTGCTCGCAGTGCCCCTGTTCCTGCTCTTTTGAGTAGCTGGCAGGTGAGGAATTGGGCCCCGGGGGTGGTTGTGAGGAGCCGGGGAGGTGTGCATACGAGTTACACCTGGGCTGAGAGGAACCCGCTCAGGGAGGAGGGCGTGTCCCTGGGTGAGCAGAGTGGAGTGGCAGTCCACAGCTGAGTCTTTCCCTTTCTTTAGGCCACAGCCTGTTTTGATGCAGACGCAGTTGCACCTGTTGAGGTGACTGGTGGTCCTGGTGGCTCTGGAGGAGTCATGGCCCCCGAGGATGCAGATGTCACTGAGTGGAACCTCCCTCCCCTCCTTACTGCTGGGGAGGGTGAGAGGAGCTTCTCCTTTTCTGCTTTCGTTGGGGAGGGGAGTCACTCATTCTGATGTCTTTGAGCTCTGAAAAATTAAGTAATTTGGAAAGAAACAGCTTGCTTCTAAGTTGCTAGTGTCACTGGGTCCCCTGCTTCTCACTATTGGGGGCCACCCTGCAAGCTGGGGTGCATGCAGATTGCTAACCATGTCTGTCCGCCCGCCCCCTCTGCAGCCGGGTCAGAGGGTAGAGAGTGGCCCCGGGATCTTGGGTCTCTAACTCCTCACTTACTGGTGCTCTGAGGCCAGAACGTTGTGCTCCCGTCTCTCACAGAGAGTTCTGGGCAGGGGTTTGTATTAGTCAGGTTCTCCAGAGCAGCATAGACTATAGAAGGAAAATAGACGGGTAAGTGACAGATAGACAGATAGATAGAGAGATAGATAGAGAGAGAGATAGAGAGAGAGATAGAGAGATAGATAGAGAGAGAGATAGAGAGATAGGTGACAGATAGAGAGAGATAGAGAGATAGAGAGAGAGATAGATAGAGAGATAGAGAGATAGGTGACAGATAGAGAGAGAGATAGAGAGTTAGGTGATAGATAGGTGACAGATAGATAGATAGGTAATAAAGAGATATCTAGATTATACACAAATAAGTGGTAAGTAGATGGATGACAGGTGGGTAACACAGAGATATATAGATAGATGACAGATAACAGAGAGATGGATGGATGAGAGATGGATGGATGAGAGATGGATGGATGAGAGATGGATGGATGAGAGATGGATGGATGAGAGATGGATGGATGAGAGATGGATGGATGAATGAGGCTCACAGGCTATGGTCCAGCTAACCCAGCAATGGCTATCTGCCAACAGAAGACTTTCTTTCATTTGTTTGAGAATTTTTCTGCTTGTACAGACCAAACAGAAGCTCATGCTTCTTTATCTGTTTCATGCCTGGAACACAAAGTAGCCACTGCCAAAGGTCCCTGTGCGCCATGCCGTCATGAAACCCCCTGCCTGTGCTGCCCATTAGGTAACTACAATAGCCTTGTGTTTGGTGGTTCAGTGAAGTCACCTGACCCCTGCTACCCCTGGGCCCAGTTAAACCCATTGCGTTTAATCCAGCCTTCCGAGCAGCAGCCTTCCGAGCAGCAGCCTTCCGAGCAGCAGTGTCTCTAAACCTAAGCCCTGGCACGTTTGGACAGCAAAGCTCTCCAAACTGCTGGTGCCCTCAGCACTGTGGGTCTCAGAGGACTGGTGAAGCTCATGTCTTCTGGCCTTCCCATTGTGGGGGATTAGGTTGTACACACCCACTGGGGTACTGCAAGTTCCCTGAGCCTTGAAGTCCCTTCTTCAACACTAAGCCAACAGATGTCAGGCACCCCCACTGCTCTTCAGCAGGTCATCTTCCGACAGCTGCCCCAGCCAGCCATTCAAGCAAACTTCAGACACCTGTTAACTGTGCACTCTTCCATATTAAGCCTAGAATCTGTACTCAGAGGGTCCATATCGACAAACTCAGCCTGATGCGATTTTATGTTCCTTCTGCTATTATCCCACACCCTTGACCCCATTCCCACACGTGCCTTCTCCACACCTCTGCGTGAGTGAATTAGTAAAGTCACTAATCTCCTTTGTAGTGCTTGTTGTTATTATCGTTTGGTTGGTTTTTTCGATTGTTTTGGGGTTTTGGGGGGGTTGTTTGGTTTGGTTTTGGTTTTGGTTTTTCGAGACAGGATTTCTCTGTAGCTTTGGAAGCTGTCCTGGAACTCGCTCTGTAGACCAGGCCTTGAACTCACAGAGGTCCGCCTGCCTCTGCCTCCCGAGTAAAGGAAGGCGGGCACGCCCCCAGGTGTCTCCTTGTGGTGTAGCACGCTGGGCTATTGTCTCCCTCTAGGAGTTGGCTTAGCCTTGAGTCTGGTTATGGGTTTAGAGGAAAGTACTGGGGTTGAGGGACAGCAACACTGTCTTCAGAGAAAGCATCTCCTCACAGGTAAAAGGGCGGCATCTCAGAGGTGGGGTGAGAGTGCATCTTCACCTGAGGATGGAGAGACTTGGGCGAGATGAACCCTTGAAAATCCGAGGGTTCTAAGTTCTCAGCTTCAACTGTCTCCTCCCACAGCCCTGTCCCAACTCCAGGATTCCATTCTTACCGGTTAACACCCTTACTGGGACTTGAATTTTTGTATGTGATTCAGCCAACCTTATAATGAGGGCTTCGGCTCAAGATGGTTTCCCTCTGGGGCACTTGGAAACCATTACTGGAGCCGGCCAGATTTTCACTGAGTTCATTGCTGTCCTTCACCGCATCCTGAGCTGAGTTGCTTAATTTTATCACGGAGGTCACTCTATTCTGTTGTGGGGTGTCCACCAGAGAAGACTGCTTGGACACAGGTTTAAGCCAATAGAAAGTCTATCAGCCGGCCGGTGACTACACTGTGTGTTTGGTAAGCCGGTGTAGCCCCAAACCTTTCTCAGGTAAGTTTTTTTTTCACTTATTTATTTTTATTTTATGTGCATTGGTATTTTTCCTGTATGTGTAAGAGTGTCAGGTCTTGGAGTTACAGGCTGCTGTGAGCTGCCATGTGTGCTGGGAATGAACCATGTCCTCTGGAAGAGCAGAGGTGGTGCTCTTAACAGCTTAAAAGCTAACCTCTCCAGCCCCAGGTGAGCTTGTAAGCCCAAAAACCATGTGCTGGGCTGACATGCTTCAGCTGACAAGAACAGTTAGAAGCCAGAGAGCACTGATATTACATTTAGACTTTCCCAGAACTATGGGTTTGATGGATTAGGTCTTTGTGTTCATCTCAGCTGGTGGTGCTGTCTGCAGGCTGAGTCTTACAGCCTGACTGGAAATCCACCATGGTGTCCTTAGTGCTAAGGACAGGACTGCTTCCATTTTCCCTTGTCAGTTTGTCCAGAGACGCCTGTGGCAGCCAAACAACGCCAGCATTTTCCTTCTTTTCCCACAAATTGTGAAAAGTTTTTGTTTTTGTTTGGTTGTTTGGTTGGTTTTGTTTTGTTTGTTTGGTTGGTTGGTTTTTTGGTTTTTCAAGACTGGAATTCTCTAGACCCCTCCCTCCACGGGATATCTCTGCATTCCTCTGTTAACTTCCTTCCTCCAATTGTCCCTGTCTTTTCCTGCTGGCGGTACTGAGGTTCACGGTCCTGTTCCCTTTACCCCACAGTACCCACTGGGGCCCCAAATGCCCATTCACAGGCACCTCTAAATCCCTTTGCGCCTTGATTGTTGGTGGCCTCACATCATTGTCTGTCTCACTCACAATCGGAGAGCAAGCTCTTTCCACTGTTGGGAATGTTGTACAAGCTTTTTCTAAGCCCTGAGGCCTGAGGTGTCGCTCAGCTCTGCTGTGGTGTGTGTGCCTTTGCATGCTCCTGTGTGTGTGCGCATGTGTGCATTCTCGTGTTCACTGGAGTGTGTGTGTGCTCAACCCTCCTGCTGCTGTGCACCTGTGGTGAGTGATTGTGTGTGTGTATGTGTGTGTGTGTGTGTGTGTGTGTGTGTGTGTGTTCTGGGGGCCAAACCCACGACCCGACCTCAGGCCACGCCCCAGCCCCCCACTGGGGGACCCTAGGCAGGGCTTTCCTGTGGCCCGGCCACTGGCCCCTGACTGGGGCTACTTAGGGCTGGCCTTTTCTGGTGTCCTGGAGAGAAGCCTGCCCTCTGGGGCCAGATGATGCCACATGGCCTCATGAGTGTAGCTGTGTCTGTTTGTAAAACATTGTCCAGCCAGGCTGGCCGCTGTCCCTTGTTGACTTTGTCTTTAGGAGGGACATTGTCTATGCTGCATGGGTTTTCCCTGACCCCCACCCCAGACCATCACCCATCGATCTGTAACTTAGCCGAATAAACGCGTATATTCCTTGGGGGTGACTTTTGGAGCAGTGGAAGTGGGGGTCAGGCCTCAGGTGGGATGACTGTCCCTCACTTGCAGACATGTGCCAGAACCGCAGATTTGTAACTGACACGTCTCTCCCCTGGTGTTTTCTGTGAAAATTTCCTTTCCTGGGGCCGAATGAACAGGGGAGGGGAGGGTTGGACTTTTTTTTTTTAATCTATTTGGGTCACTGTCTCCTTCACACTGTGGAGGAGCTAGATCAGGGGACAGTTGTACAGAGATCACCACACACACACACACACACACACTCACAGACACACACACAGACACAGACCACACACACAGACACACACACACACACTCACAGACACACACACAGACAGACACACACCACACACACTCACAGACACACATACACAGAGACACACACCACACACACACTCACAGACACACACTCACAGACACACACAGACAGACACACACCACACACACAGACACACACACACAGAGACACACACCACACACACTCACAGACACACACACTCACAGACACACACACACTCACAGACACACACACACCACACACACCACACACACCACACACACACACAGAGACACACACAGACACACACACAGACACTCACACACAGACACACACACCACACACACACAGACACACACACCACACACACACACAGAGACACACAGACACACACAGACAGACACACACAGACAGACACACACACAGAGACACACACACCACACACACAGACAGACACACACCACACACACAGACAGACACACACCACACACACTCACAGACACACATACACACAGACACACACCACACACACTCACAGACACACACACAGACACACACCACACACACTCACAGACACACACACACTCACAGACACACACACAGACAGACACACACCACACACACAGACACACACACAGACACACACCACACACACTCACAGACACACACAGACACTCACACACAGACACACACACCACACACACACAGACACACACACACAGAGACACACAGACACACACACCACACACACTCACAGACACACACACACAAACAGACACACAGGTACACAGACACACACACACAGACACACACAGACACACACCACACACACTCACAGACACACACAGACACACACCACACACACAGACACACACCACATACACACACAGACATACACACATACAGAGACACACACACAGACACACACAGACACACACCACACTCACAGTCACAGACACACACCACACACACACTCACAGACACACACAGACACACACCACACATACACAGACACACACATACACACAGAGACACACCACACACACTCACAGACACACACAGACACACACCACACACACACAGACACACACCACATACACACACAGACATACACACATACAGAGACACACACACACATACACAGACACACACCACACACACTCACAGACACACACACAGACACACACCACACATACACAGACACACACATACACACAGAGACAGACACACACACACCACACACACAGAGACAGAGACACACACAAACAGACACACATACACACAGGCACACACACCACACACACACACACACACACACACACACACACACACACACTGATCTGAAGAAGCACTGGGCTTTCGTGGAAGCCCCCGCTGACCAGGCAGTGAGACCTTCCGGGCATTGAGTAACACCTTCATCCTGTGACCTCTGTCCTCTTGGGTTCCTGGAAAACGCCAGCAAGGCTTTTGCTCCCAGCTCCTCAGCGCCGGGGTGGCTGATGAAGGCTGCTCGCCGGTCTACACAGAAGGACAAACCTTGTCATGTTTTCCCTTTTACTGTGCATCTGGACCTCAAAGTTGCGCTGCCACCTAGTGGCTGGGGCTGGGTGGGGACTCTGGAGGGATCAAGTTGTGCTCTGTGTTTCCTGCTTGCAGCACAGCCTCTCTGGGCCGGAGCTATTTTTCATTTTTCTTCAGATTTTTCATTCTTTTTCGTTTCTTCCCTTTTTTTAATCCCCTTCTTTCTCCTTATTTATCTTCCCCTCCTCTCTTTCTCTTTGAATCTCATCTTTGTTGTTGTGATGTAAATGCAATGGTTCCACCCAGGGGAAATTACACGCAGGACACTCAAGTCTGTCACTGACTGGACAGGGAAGCCCTGACTTCCCCAAGGAGGCCAGGCAGCAGAGGCAGCTGAGCCGGTGGGGAGAGGCGGCCTTGCCCAGCGGTCCTCTGCAGGCTGGCCCACTGTTGCTGTCTTTTCCATGTCCTGGGGCTCAGTCTCGCCCTGGCCTTCCTAACTAGTCTGGGTGAAGGAGCTGAGGGTTGCCTGAGAAGAAGCGACTGAACTAAACCTGGGGCAGAGTCTCCCAACTTAATTCCATATTTCTACGTAGCTTATCTTTTATTTTGTTGTTTCCAGACCTGGCAGGTCTCAAGCTCATGGGGATCCGCCTGCCTCTGCCTCCTTGTTCTGGAGGCATGCGCCACCAGTCCTGGCTTACCACCTTTGAGTTCATTTACTGTAAATGTGCTCCACTCAGATTCTAATCAGCGTTAAACCTTCAGCCCCAGGTCTCATGTAGCACAGGCTAGCCCCCAAGTCCCCCCCCGCCTGACAGGTGTGTGCTACTGCAAAAACTTCCATGTCATGAACTGAACGAGGGGTACACCAGGAGTGGTTCTCAGCTCACACTTAGTGGACACCGACTGTATGCCCGGCTTGGGTGATCTCAGGGAGAGGATGGAACAAAGAGTGAGGCTCTGCTTGTCAGTCATGTGGGGAACAGCCAGGGAAAGAGACTCCCGGTAAAATGAGGAGAACCTGGGTGTCTGGCGACCTTAGATGCCCCAGACCTACGTGCTGGAGAGAGAAATGTCCTGTGATCTGGACAGACCCTACGTTCCTCCCGTGCACACACAAAACAAATAAATTCTAATTAAAAAATTAAAAACTTTGTATAAGAACCTTGAATCCCACTCTCACGGAAAGATTGTTCCCACGCCTCCGAGCTCAGCCAGCGTGGAGATCTTGCAGGACCCCTGTGTCTATCCTCCGACTTCCAGACTCAGTTTCCCCGTCAGCAGAATAGGCTCACCTGCCGCTCTGGAGCTTCTGAACCATGTTTGGTCTATTGAGTCCCCCCCAGCCCATGCGCTTCTGACTCTCACTGTTACTGCGTTCAGAGGAAACTGAGGCTCAGGAGGGCCTGGCTTCAGCGTCCCCAGCCCTTTCCTGGAGTGCTCAGAGCTGAGCAGCCCTAAGGGATACCTGTACACTCTCCCCCATCCCTCGGGAAGTCACCGCCGGGCGGGGCGGAACGGTGGGTGTCCCCGGAACCCCAGGGTGCCAATTAAGTGCTGGTGGCCCGTCTGGGGTCAGAGCCGCGGCAGGATGGCAGAGCCGGGCCCGGAGCCGGGTCGCGCCTGGCGGCTGCTGGCTCTGTGCGGGGCTGCGGTGTTCCTGGCGGCAGCGGCAGCCGGAGGGGCGCTGGTGGCTTGGAACCTGGCGGCCTCTACTGCCCGGGGCCCACGCTGCCCTGAGCCCGAGCAGGTGAACGCCACGGTGTGGCCCCCGGACTCGGCGCCCGAGGTCGAAGAACTGCGGCGGCGGCTGGCAGAAGCTGAGCAGTTCCACGAGACCCTGGCCGCGCAGCTGCAGCGTGCCGAGGGCGACAAGAGGGAGCTGGAGGCGGCGTTCAAGGCCTGCAAGGACCGCCAGGTAGGGCAGGGGAAATCCAGAACATTCCGCAAAGAGATCCTGCTTGCCCATCTCCAGGGCCTCAGTGTCCCCCAACTCTGCAAAGGACCACCGCAGTGTCTTCTAAAATGCCAGTCCTCTTGGAGTCTAACTTCTGACCACGATAGCACTGGTCCCCGCTATTGAACACAAGGAAAAAGCTGGGACCCCGGAGCTCTGAGAGAGTCCGTGGTGACCCTCTGTCCGCCTCACCCCCACTCCAGTTCCAGAAGTCCTATTTTGAGAGAGGGACACTTATGTCACCTGTAATTAGGAGACTAAAGTTGGCCTCTTGGGGTGGTACCATCGGGACCTCCCTTTCCGGAGCCGCCCCCTCAGACTCTTTCCTAACCCTCCTGACTCCACAGCCTCACAAAACGGGGTGCTCAAACCCGTCCCTGACAGCATGGGGACACAAGGGAGGCAGACGGGGAGGCGAGGGATTCAAACTTCATCGGAAGATGGAGAGGTGGAGGCAGCCTGGGCTGTAGGAGGGTCTATCACAAAAGGAAACCTAGGTTTGGGGAAACCTAGCAATTCACATTTATTGAACAATGGCTGTGAAGCTTTTGTGTCTGACCCTGCACAGTTTCTGCCTCTAACTTTGGCGGACTCTGAACTGGGCTGAGAAGCGCGAGACTTAAGAACTGCTACGTTGGGGCTGTATCCCGGAGCCACACCCCCAGACCCTGGCTGCGGGATCCTAGCCACGCCCCCATCCTCCATTTGTTTTAATTTTGAGACAGGATCTGCCCTCAAATGACCAGTATGTTCTGGAACTAAAGCAGTGGCCGTGGCTGGCTGGAATTCCCGATCCTTCTGCCTCTACCTCCAAGCACTGGCATGACAGGAGTATACTCCAGGTCCAGCTGACATCTGTGTTTCAAAAATCTAAGTGTCAGGCCGGGCGTTGGTGGCGCACGCCTTTAATCTCAGCACTCGGGAGGCAGAGGCAGGCGGATCTCTGTGAGTTCGAGACCAGCCTGGACTACCAAGCGAGTTCCAGGACAGCCTCCAAAGCCACAGAGAAACCCTGTCTCGAAAAAAAAAAATCTAAGTGTCATGGCAAGCTGAGGCAGGGGGACCACACCTTTGAGGCCAGCTTGAGGTGTAGAACATCAGGGCTGTAATCCCGATACAGAAAAGCCAGCCCGGCCCTGTGAGCTCCCTGCATTCCCAGATGACGGGCCTGAGGTAGTGGAGGTCAAAAGAGTCTGTCCCCGGGTGTGAGTTCTGACTCAGAAAACCAGACACTGCCACCCATCAAATCTGCCTGAGCCGGTGGCAAGTCCTACATGGAACCAAGCATTTTCTACTGGGCAGAGCCGGGTGGGTCACCTAGCTCCCTCTCCGTCCCTTTCTTCCTCCCCGTGCTGTGTGCAGAGCCGACTTCAGACGCAGCTGAAGGCCCTGAAGACAGAGATGGATGAGGCCAAAGCCCAGGGCACACAGATGGGGCTGCAGAACGGAGAGCTGACAGGTGGGCTGGGGAGGGGCTGGGAGGGGCTGGGGAGGGGCTGGGAGGGGCTGGGGAGAGGTTGGGGAGGGGCTGGGAGGGGGCTGGGAGGGGCTGGGAGGGGCTGAGGGGAGAGGGAGGGAGGAGGGGCTGAGGGAGGCTGGAGTAGGGGCTGGAGGAGAAGGAGGGAGGAGGGGCTGGGGGAGGGGCTGGAGGAGAAGGAGGGAGGAGGGGCTGGGGGAGGGGCTGGAGGAGAAGGAGGGAGGAGGGGGCTGGGGGAGGGGCTGGAGGAGAAGGAGGGAGGAGGGGCTGGGGGAGGGGCTGGAGGAGAAGGAGGGAGGAGGGGCTGGGGGAGGGGCTGGAGGAGAAGGAGGGAGGAGGGGCTGGGGGAGGGGCTGGAGGAGAAGGAGGGAGGAGGGGCTGGGGGAGGAGGGGGAGGAGGGAGGAGGGGGAGGAGGAGGAGGAGGAGGCTGGAGGAGAAGGGGACTGTGGAGAGACTTAACAGGTCCTTAGAAATGCACAGCACATGGGCCTGCAATTGCCGAGGAAATCATCTAAAAAAGACATTAGAAGAACTTTAATTCAACTCGAGAGGGCAAGAAAACAGAAAAGGCCTTACAAGAGATTCAAAAATAATTGAGCCAGGCTGTGGCTGTGGCTTGGCAAGGCAGAGAGCTTGCCCAGCATGCCCGGAGCCCTGAGCTCCATAGACCAGGCCTGGTGGCACACACCTGTCACCCCAGGACCCAGAAGACTGACACTGGAGGGTATCTGGGAGTGAGTCTGAGGTCACAGTAAGACCCAGTCTTAAAAGAAACAAAACAAAATAAACAAATGAACAAAAAAGCCAAAGGTGTGAACCAGGTGTAATGGTGGCTTAAACGAAAAAACAACAACAAAAAACCCGAAAGGTTTGGGCGGTAGTGGTGCACACCTTTAATCCCAGCACTTGGGAGGCAGAGGCAGGCGGATCTCTGTGAGTTCGAGGCCAGCCTGGTCTACAGAGCTACACAGAGAAACCCTGTCTCAAAAAACCAAACCAAACACAAACAAAAATAAAACTCCCGAAAGGTTGCATGGAGCGGTGGCATGTGGGTACTTGTTACTCCAGCACTTGGGGCAGGAGTTGGGAGTTAGGAGTCTGTCTCTAGTCTTGGTTTGTAGAGTAAGTCCGAGGCCAGGCTGGGCTGCATGAGGCGCTGTCTCCAAAAGCAATAATAATATTAAAGTGACAACGATGATGGAGATAGAAAGCTCGAGACAGGGTTTCTCTGTGTAGTAACTCCCTTTGTAGCCCAGGCTAGCCTCGATCTCACAGAGATCCACCTGCTTCTGTCTCCTAAATTCTGGGATTATGGGTGTGTGCCACCATCGTCCAGGTTAGTCACGCCCAGTTTTTTGTTTTGTTTTGTTTTACGAGACAGTGTTTCTCTGTATTGCTTTGGAGGCTGTCCTGGAACTCACTCTGTAGACCAGGCTGGTCTTGAACTCACAGAGATCCTCCTGCCTCTGCCTCCCGAGTGCTGGGATTAAAGGCGTGCGCCACTACCGCCAGGCTGTCACGCACATTTTAATTCAAGCATTACATGGCGTGCAGATTCAAGTCCCCCTGTTCCCTGTAGAAGCCTTGGCTCGCTGGGAGGCCGCAGCCGTGGAGTCCAAGCAACAGCTGGAAGCGGCCCTGCAGCGCGTGGGCGCAGCTGAGGCAGACAGAGAAGCTTGCGTTGGCCGCGAGGTGGCGCTGAGGGAGCGTATGTGAGTGACAGGGTGGGCCGCGGGCCAATGACTTTGTACAGTGCAGTTTGCATCTGGGGCGTGGCTTAGGTACGCCTGGGCCTCGGTAGGTGGGGAGGGAGGGTAGCCAGGTGGGCTGGACTTGGAGATGAAGCTCGAAGCAGCTCGGGATGGTGAGGGGGATAGGTGGTCTGGGGGTGGGGGGACCCCAGGTTGAAGGTGCCGCTTGGGGAATCTATGTGGGGCTCCATGGAGTAGCGCGGAGAAAATACAAGGTTGCAGGAGAAAGGAGTAGGTAGCGAGGAGAGTCAGGGGTTGGGGAGGGCCTTGCAGGGGAGGGGTCTCCCGTGTGTCCGAGTGTGGAAGGGAATGGGGCCGGTGCCGGGAAGGAAGCCCTGAAGGCCGAGCTCCCCACACGGACACGGTGTCGGTGGTCAGGCACTCACGGTCCCCTCCTTCTGCAGTTACGCCCTGGAGACCGAGCTGGGCCACCTGCAGAGAGCATCGCGCCCCCGTCCCCGCCCCCGCCCAGGATCCAGGTCCAAGCCCAGCATCCGCTCCCGCCCAAGGTCTGGACTTACTAAGGATTGCCGGAGGCCACCGCGTGACCCCCAGTAGGATGGGAGCCTCGGGCCAGCAGTGACGGTGTGGGTGAGAGGCGTGGCCCACAGCTTCCACGCGCAGCTTTCCACGCACGGCTGCCTAGATGGTGGCACCGCAAAGGCTCAGTCCTCCTCTCTAGAAGCACACAGTGCTAGGTCATCACCACATAGGGAAACTGAGGCTCATTTGATCAGGCCCCGATGTCCCTGGTAACCACGGCGCGACCTTTATTCCAAGAGCACCCTGTAGGAGCACACAGAACGCAAGCGGGATTTCTGCAGGGAACCAACCGAGGCACACTGCAGAAGGTTCACAAATTCTAGCAAGCCATGAGGACCAGGGCCTCGGTGAAGATGCCCGGGTCCTAGAAAGTGACTGGAGGGGATGCCCATGTAACAGAAAACAGCGCAGGAGTATGAACCGGAGCTGTCCAGGTCACACGGAGAAGGGCTCTCCTTGGGGCTCAAAAGACTCAACAGTTCCTCTCCCGCCTCCCTTCCCGACGCTCCCTGCCACCTCCTTCCCTTCCTGCTTTCTCCCTTTCTCTTTCAACTGGGTCTCATGTAGCCCAGGCTGACCTCACACTACCTATATAGCCTAGGCTGCCCTGGACCTCCTGACCCCCCCCCCCACTCCAGCCCAAGGCTGGGATTAAAGGCCTGCTCCACCTCATCCTAGCCAACAGTCTCACGTGTGCTTAATTTCACATTGTTTGGGAGTCTTAAAATTCATGTTTAACATGGTTTTCCTGAGACATCTTCCTGTGTAGCACACACCACCCAGACTCTTCTTTAGGGGCATGTTTCACCAAGCCTGGCTCAATTATCTACATTTAATGTGACTAACAGTGATACTTTCTTGATATTTCCCATCCAAATTCCTTAATTTACTCTGTCTGTTGCTTTTGTCCCCGGTGCTGGAGATGGCCCCGAGTGGCACACGGCAGGCAACACTTCCAATGTCACATTCCTGAATCCTGAGGTTTCATGTGGGGCTGGGGAGGAGGCTCAGCAGCTCAGCACACCCTTGCAAAAGCCCTGGTTTCCTTCTCAGCACCCACAAATCATCTCACAACCCCAGAACTCAGTCCCTCGGGAGCCAGCCCCTCCTAGAGCCTGCCTGGGGACTGCATACACAGATGTGCACATACATACAGGCAAAGAGCACATAAAATAAATAAAAATTAAACCATTTATTTATGTATTTATTTATTCATTTACCTAGTTATTTGAGACAGGATCTCTCTATACCGCCCTGGCTGTCCTGAAACTGGCTCTGTAGATGAGGCTGGCCTTGAACTCAGAGAGATCCACCTGCCTCTGCCTCTCGAGTTTTGGGATTAAAGGCGTGCACCATCAGGTCTGGAAAAAACAAACAAACAAACAACTTTCTTTCATTCAAACACAATGCACAGACAGTATGGATAGGGGCCTATCATCTGCGCTGGGGACAAGGACGCTGAGGTCCAGGTCCTCTATTTGTCTGTCCATCCATCCATCCATCCATCCATCCACTGAGGCTGATTCCCAGACAGAAGCAAACAACCCCCAGGTGCTCTTGCTAGTTCTGCTGTGCAGAGATGCCACAGTGGTTAGAGCACTCGCTGCTCGCGTTGAGGACAGCTCACAGGATTCAGTCCCCAGCACCCACATCACAGCTCCCAGCTGCCCGTGACTCCAGCCTTGGGAGTGTGACCCTTCTGGCCTCTTGTCGATAGCCCGTGACCACACACATGCATAAAGTAAATGGTGTCTTAGAACTTGTGATGCAGGAGTGGGCGTGGCGGCCACACCTTTAATCGGGAGAGAGACAGGCAGACATGAGCCCTAGACACAGTATCTAAAAAAAGGAGAGAGAAAAGAAAAGTAAAATGGAAGAAAAAAGAGATGGTAAATTGGAATTCTGATCAGAGAGGTTTCTAGTTGCCATCCTGATTCTTGCCATCAGGGGTCGCTGCAGCCTGCAGGGCATCGAGGGTGGGCCTGAGACCCTGTTCCCCGCCCTGAGAGCTGGGAAACGCCTTTTATGACCGGGACGGCACTGGCAGGATGGACGAGCAGGGCCAGCTTGGCCTACATAGGAGGTTTGGGACTAGCGTGAGCTACAGGAGACTGCCACAGACCAATAAAAATCATCTCGAGTCTTTGCTTCCAGCTGTAGTCTCAGCAGTCTGGAGACTGAGGACTGAGGCAGGAGGATTATCAGGCTTACAGTGGGGAGAGGGCTATCAGAAAATACCATGTCTGGGCGTGGGGGGAGTAGGAAGCCTTGGGAGGCTGTATCAGGGATGCAAGGAGCCACAGGCGTTCAGGGTGACTTGAAGTGAGGAGCACCCAGGACTGAGTCATGGGACCCGCCCGCTGTCCTCCGCAGGCAGCGCCAATCCTGCTTTTTTTTTTTCTGCCTGTTTTGAGACAGGGCCTCATGTAGCCCAGGCTGGCATATCATGTAGCCCAGGCTGGCTTCCAATATGCTATGCAGCTGAACATGGCCCAAATCCCGATCCTCCTTGCCCCATCCATCCCCTCTGTGTTGAGGAGGCACAGGGGACAGCCCCGGCTTCACACGCACTGGACAAGCTCTTGGAGCTGTTTGTAGCACCTGAAGGGCTTTTGCGTGTTCCCAGTGCGGAAGGAGGGCCCTGGCATCGAGGGCGAACACAGAGGTCATTCCGCCCGAGTCTTCTCACACGTTCTTCTCGGGTCGGAGGACGCCTTGCTGGAGCCGGTTGTGGGGGCCGAGTGAGGGTCCTCAGGCTTGATGGGGACCACCTGTAGCCTCTGGCCGTCTGTCTCACTGTCTCTTAGCTTCGTGTCTGCTTCTGAGCCCGGCTCATGCCTGTGGACAGCTGTCCCTGCCGTCTGGTCCATGCCCACCCTGAGGCCCCTCCTGTGAGTACAGGAGTGGGGTGGGGGTGGGGGCAGCAACAGCAGTGGGGGGGTAGGCTTCCTCCAAGAGTCTTACCCCAGAGTCCCATCCCCATGGGACTCCGAGCCCTGAGGAGCTGCCCCTAATCTCAACCCAGTTTTGCCTCCTAAAAACAGAATCAGATTCATGGAAAACTGAGCCGGAGGGTTTGCGCCAGTGGCGGGCAACCATCCCTTCACCGGGCTCGGTGGACACACCTTCAGTCTCAGCACTTAGGAGGCAGAGGCAGGGTCTCTGTATACCAGAGGCCAGCCTGGTCTACATCAAGAGTTGCAGGCAGCCAGGCGTTGGTGGCGCACGCCTTTAATCCCAGCACTCGGGAGGCAGAGGCAGGCGGATCTCTGTGAGTTCGTGACCAGCCTGGACTACCAAGCGAGTTCCAGGACAGCCTCCAAAGCCACAGAGAAACCCTGTCTCGAAAAACCAAAAAAAAAAAAAAAGAGTTGCAGGCTAGCCAGAGCTATCTTAAAATCAATAAATAAATTTTAAAAAGCCATTTCTTCCTTTATAATAAACTTCCTGGTGGCACACTTCTGTCACCCTACACTCACGAAGCTGAGGCAGGAGGATTGCTGTGAGTTCAAGGCCAGCCTTCAAGTAGCCTCAAACTACTTAGAGTACATAGTAACACTCTGTCTCAAAACAATAAGACAAAAACTAAACAGTGAAAATTGTTTTCTAACGAAGACATGACGTTTTGTAAACCTCCTGTCTCCTCGAAGGCTGAGCTGTGGCAAGTGCCGACTTCCTCTGAAAGCTTCCCACCTAAACAAACAACTCAGGCCCAATTGATTGTTTTCCATTTAGAGAGAAAGGGGGGTGGGGAGCATCCCTGAGGATCCTGAGCCGTGCGAGCATCCGAAGCGGCCGAGGACACAGCATGGGCAAAGTTTCCTGTGACCATGACAAATTGTTCTCAGGAAAATCACAGAGCAGTCCCATCAGGGAATGCGGCTGACCTGGGAGGGCGTCTTCCCTCCCTCCCTCCCTCCCTCCCTCCCTCCCTCGGGACAGCCTGGTCAGGGATGCAGGCAGAAGGACTTCAGACCGTCTATTTTTAGAGATTTTCTACGGTGTGGCAGGTGTGGCCAGTGAGAGATGGGAGGATTGCGGATTGTTCTCCGCTGGAAGGAGACACGAGCAGGTGGAGTCCAGGCTCCCAGTTCAGTGTCGGGGGATTCTCCAGAAGCATTGCCTCTGAGTCCAACGACCTAAGCGCCAGTGCTCTTAACCTCTGAGCCATCTCTCCAGCCCACAACTCCATTGTTGTTATTGTTGCTGTTTGTTTTGTTTTGTTTTTTGAGACAGGGTTTTCTCTGTGTGGCCCTGGCCGTCCTGGAACTCACTCTGTAGACCAGGCTGGCCTCGAACTCAGAGAGCTACCTGCCTCTGCCTCCCAAGTGCTGGGGTTAAAGGTGTGCACCACCACCGAACGGCACAACTCTATTTTTAATATGTTTTATGTATTTACCTGTGTGTGGTGGACACTTACACATGTCACAGCACCCCTCTGGCCCGCAGAGGACACCAAGAGGGTCCAGTCTCTCCTTCCACCTTGTGGGTCCTGGGGATGAAACTAATACTGTCTCTAAGTGCACACACACACCTCCCATACATCACAGCTCTTCCAGAGCTGACCCCACGCTGCCTCCAGGCCGAGCCCCTCCCTCCACAGCACCCTGGCACTCACATCGTAGTTCCTGTCCTCTGGGCCAGAGACAGTGCCCCTGCCCCTCCGCCTCTCAGCCTGGCATCTTGTGACAGCCACAAGGATGAGAGTGCACCCTGGCACCTTCAGAAGTCCTGCGGCTTACTCATGCTGAAAAGGGCATCGTTTCACATCGTGTGTCTGGGTGCTCTGACTACACGTATGAGCGTGTACACTTGTGTGAATGGTACCCTCAGAGGCCAGAAGTGGGCATCAGATGCCTCGGGAAAGGAGTTACAGATGGTTATGAGCCATTGCGTAGGTGCTGGAATCGAACCCAGGTCCTCCAGCTGTCTCACCGTTTATCAGTGTGTGTCTGGCTCTGCAGGAAAGCCTTGGGTGCTGGGGAGACAGCTCTGCGGGTTAAAGCTTGCCGTGGAACCCGGAACCAGCATAAAGGGGGAAGCCGAAAACTGACCACAGACCGGGGTGCCCAAAACACCACAGACAACAGCAACAACAACATTAAAAAGAAAAGAGGGCCTGGAGAGATGGCTCAGAGGTTAAGAGCACTGGCTGCTCTTCCAGAGGTCCTGAGTTCGATTCCCAGCAACCACATGGTGGCTCACAACCATCTGTAATGAGATCTGGTGCCCTCTTCTGGCCTGCAGGCATACATGTAGGCAGAACACTGTATACATGGTAAATAAATAAATCTTTAAAAAAAAAAAAAAAAGAGGAGTGGTGGTGGCCACGCCTTTAGTCCCAGCACTGGGGAGGCAGAGGTAGGTGGGTCTCTGTGAGTTGGAGGCTAGCCTGGCCTACAAGAGCTACACAGAGAAACCCTGTCTTGGGGGGGGAAAATCTCTGTGTGGGGCTCATTTGGTAGTGTGCTCAGTTGCCATGGGAGAGGCCTGGGTTCCACACCCATAAATCAGGGATGGCAGGTACACCTGTCACCCCAGCACCTGGGAGGTGGAGACAGGAGTTCCAGGCCACCTTTAGCTACATAGCCACTTGGAGGTCAGCCTAGGCTACATGAGACCCCTCTTAAAGGGAGCAAAAAGCTGCCCTCTGTGAACAGGAGGAAGTTACGTTTCCGGGGTCATGGGCTGGCCAGGTGGCATGCCAGACCCTAACTGTGGCCTCCCCACCTGCCTGGCCAACCTGGAGCCACCACCGGTTGGGCCCCAGCTGCAGCCCCCAGTCCTGCCACCCCCACCCCCCACCCTGCGGCTGGCCAGGAAGGGTCTAGAATCAGGAATCTCCGGGTGGCTGCAAAGGCCAAAGGTCACACAGGGTTTCCTGTCCGCCCCTGGGAACTTCCTCCTTCCCAGCCCCACACCCTCCTGCTCAGCTCCTTCTCTGTCCCATCCCTTCGCAGGCTCTAGGGCCCAGGAGACATTGCCCCTGCTGGACCCCACAGCTGCCACCTAACCAGCTCCCTCCTCGTCCCTCGCCACAACAGGTCAGGGCTGCCTGTGAGGCAGGAACAGGTAAAGGAGTCCCGAAAAATTTCCCAGCACTTTTGGGAAATGGGGCACCCCCCAAAGTCTCCCACCTGTGCCTGGGGTTGGTCCACAGAGACCCAGAGCCTCCCAGGGAACCCCACCTACCAACAAGGCTCACTGCCACCCCCTCAGACCCTGAAATCACAGCAGGACAGAAACATGAGCACACTTTAGTCATGGAGGGGGAAACTGAGGCACATGTTGGGGCAGCCCTTGCCAGAGTTCACAGAGGCCTCTCTCTCCTTTCCCCACGTCAAGATCCTGCTCTCCTACATCAGATTCCACAGGTTTTTATAGCGCTGGGGGTCTATGCAGGGACCACCCTGAGCTATGCCACAGCCCCTCACTAGGGAATTCTAGGCAGGGGCTCTATTGTGAACCAGGCCCCAATCTCAGAGCTCTCTGGGGACACCTGTGTGTGCTGGTAGAATTTTTGTGGGAGGTGGTGCCATTGTCCCCCAAGAATCAGGTCTCCGTGAGGCTTCTGTGCACTAATTGAGCACCTACTGTTGCCATGGTGGAAAACTTCCCTGGAACTCCTGGGCGGGGAACATACTACAGCAATCCTTTGCCTTGGATACCAAACTCCTAAGTGTGTGTGTGTGTGTGTGGTGTATGTGTGTGTGTGGTGTGTATGGTGTGTGTGGTGTGTATGGTGTGTGTGGTGTGTGTGTGTGGTGTATATGTGTGTGTGTGTGATCTGTGGTGTGTGTGGTGTGTATTTGTGTGGTGTGTATGGTGTGTATGGTGTGTGTGGTGTGTGTGGTGTATGTGTGTGTGGTGTGTGTGGTGTATGCGTGTGTGGTGTGTGTGTGGTGTGTGGTTTGTGTGTGTGTGTGGTGTGTGTGTGTATGCTTGTGTGTGTGTGGTGTGTGTGTATGTGTGTGGTGTGTGTGTGGTGTGTGTGTGTGGTGTATGTGTGTGGTGTGTGTGTGTGTGTGTGCCTGGGAGTTGCCCCATGGAGACTGTTTTGTGGGATTTGACTGTGGCACCTCAGTGACCTGGGCATGTATGAACCCAGTCTGCCACCAAGTAACAGGGCCAGTCTCCTGTCTTAGCTGTGCCTCAGTTCCCTCTTCCACGTGAGGGGCCAAGTCACCGGTATGATTGAGATAATAGTCCCGAGTTCAGAGGGCATCGCCCGGCAGGCCTCAGGCGGGGTGGTGGTGGTGGAAACTGAGGCCAGGCCAGGCGGAAGAAGCCATCCAGTCACCCGGCGGGTGCGGCACCCTCCCCATATATCAGAGCTGCCCAGACTGCCCGTCCTTAACAGCCAGGGTGGGAGTGTTGTGATAACCCACAGCCCCCATTTCCTCCTGGCCAGGAAGGAGCCGGGCAGAGGAAGCATTAAGAGAAGTAATATAAACACTCCCCCCTGCTTGGCGCAGCCCAGATCTGGCCAGGCAGGCAAGGAGGGACAGTGCACCCGGCGACACCGCGAATGGGGCTTGCCATGGACCGCAGCCCGTACTCCCGCACAGGGGACGCGGCCCGCGGCTGCTGGTACTACCTGCGCTACTTCTTCCTCTTCGTGTCGCTCATCCAGTTCCTCATCATCCTGGGCCTGGTCCTTTTCATGATCTATGGCAACGTGCACGCCACCACGGAGGCCAGCCTGAAGGCCACCGAGATCCGCGCCGACAATCTGTACAGCCAGGTGATGGGACTGTCTGCCGTGCAGGCTAACCTGACCAAACAGCTGAACGTCAGCTCGCAGGCCAAGGACACCTTCATGCAGATGCTGCTGAGCGCCCGGCGCGAACTGGAGCGCATCAACGCCAGCTTCCGCCAGTGCCAAGGCGACCTGGTAAGAGGCGGCCTGCGCGCCCTGCGCTGCAGCACCGGGCACCCCCAAATTCTAAATTCCACTTGAGGAAATCTGGATACTCCCCTCCTAGCTTCTTTATTTCCAGTGTGGTCTCTTGTAGTTCAGGCTGGTCTAGAACTCGCTGTGTAGCCAAGGATGTGCTTGAGTTCCTGACTGCTACCTCTGAGAGATTACAGCCCGGTGTTGCCACGCCTCGTTTATTGGTACATGCTATACCATTGAGTGACAGCCTTTCTCTCTCCCTAACCCTGGCAGGCTCTCACTGTGGAGCACAGTCTGGTCTTAAACTCATGACAATTCTGCATCACCATGGAGCTGGTGAGGATTTTTTGACAGTGATTTTCACGGTGGCAGACATTACCTGCCGGAAAGGCTTTGCTGCAGGCAGTATGATTTTTTAAGTTAGACTTATTTATTACACATTCCACCATGTGGGCCCCAACTTAGCAGCAAGCCTTTACCCCCTGAGCCACCTTGAAGGCCTGACTGCTCAATTATTATTTTTTTTTTTTAAGAGACAGGGTCTCACTATAGCTCTGGCTGTCCTGGAACTCACTATATAGAGCAGGCTGGCCTCGAACTCACAGAGATCCACCTGCCTGTGCCTCCCAAGTGCTGGGATTAAAGTCACTATGTCTTGCTCTCTGATCATTCAATTTAATAACAAAATCTCTCTTGGGATAAACCAGGAATTCACAATTTCATGGCTAGGCCAATCCATCCAGAGAGAGCACATTCTCAGTAAGCTTTCCGGGAGAAAGCTGGGCGGGAGCAGCATTGTCTCCCTGCAGTTGGGGTTTAGCTGGGCGTCCTGGGCACTTGCAGGTCCTGCTACTGTAGGTGCCTGCCCTGAGTCTGCTCCTGGCGGCTTCGTCGGAACGCGAGCTGCTTCACAGAGCTGCGTACACAGGCTCAGAAAGCTTGTTCTTCCTCAGAGTGACATGGATGAACTAAGTCCTGGTGGGGCTCAGAGCTCAGCCCTTGCGCTGCACGTGTGAGGCCCTGTGTTCCGTCCCCAGCGCTGAGGACACAGCCAGAAGGAACGCCATTCTTGGACATGGTGGCAGACACTTGTCACCTTAATATTTGCAGGCTGAAGCAGCAGGAGCAGGAGTTAAAGTCAGCTTAGACTACAGAAGACACCGAGAGAGAGGGAGGGAGAGAGAGACAGAGAGAAAGAGTGAGAGAGATAGAGATAGAGAGATACTGAGAGAGAGGGAGACAGAGAAACACAGAGGGGGAAGAGAGACAGAGAGAGAGGGGGAGAGAGAGAGAGGAGAGGAGAGAGAGGGGAGAGGAGAGAGAAAGGGGGAGAGAGAGAGGAGAGGAGAGGAGAGAGAGAGGAGAGAGAGAGAGAGGGGGAGGGAGAGAGAGGAGAGGAAAGAGGGGGGGAGGGAGAGAGAGGAGAGGAGAGCAGGGGGGAGGGAGGGTTTAGGCTTTCCCAGGTGGGCTCAGCCCACTTCGTCCTGCAATGGTCACAGGGCTGAGATCCTGGAGACAGCTTTCTGCACACAGCCCGTAGCATGTCAGACACACCCAGCTGTGTTCACCTGACACCTTCCAGGTCACGGAGGGAACAGGACTGGATGGCGCAGGCTGGGCAGCTTCTGCGCCAACAGCAGGGGTGCTGGCAGCCATCAGATTAGGGGTAAAGCAAGGTCTCCCCGCAGAGGACAGGGTCCCCAGGATAAGAGGGTGTCCTCCCTCAGACCGTGGTGACAAACCCAGCCTGACAGGAGTCCAAGTCCTCAGGCAGAGCTGCCCTGGCCTCTTGGGCTTTCTAGGTGCTTACTGCCCCCCCCCCCGTGGGAGGGGGATAATCCTGACACACTCACACCTACATCAACACACTTACACACTGGTTTCCCACACTTCCTTGTTGGAGAAAGTGGCGCCCAGGTTTCTGGGTTTGTATTTTCACTTAATTCATTCACGGCTCCTGGATCTTGACCCTGACCGTCCTCCTTGCTAAGTGTGAACACTACAGCCACATCACAGCCTAGCCCTGGATCTACGTTGCTACACGAACATCCCAGGACTCGGGGTTCCTTGGCAAGCTGCCTTCCCCATGGCGGACCGGAGCCACCAGAGTTACGCCCTCGTGGTTTCTGTCTCGTCCCCTCGTCCCCAAAGAACAAAGAATGTGATTTCTCTGCCACGTCCCTGCCCATCCACTTAGCGTCCCATTCTTTCTTGGTTTTGTCTTGAGATAAGCTCTTTGGAGGCTGTCCTGGAACTCGATCTGTAGACCAGGCTGGCCTCGAACTCACAGAGATCCGCCTGCCTCTGCCTCCCGAGTGCTGGGATTAAAGGCGTGCGCCACCAACGCCCGGCTCTTGGCATCCCGGGATGATCTTGACTTTATGGTACTCTACCGTCTGGAACGACAGACACACCCATCTTGCTGATGTGATGCAGGCACAAAACCCAGAGCTCTGTTTCCTAGGCGCACTGGAGCACCTGAGCCCCAGCCCCTGTATTTGTTAAGAGTCACGGCAACACTCACCTTAACCCCAGCACTTGGGAGGCAGAGGCAGGAGGATCTCTGGGAGTTGGAGGGCAGCCTGGTTTATATAGGGAGTCCCAGGACAGCCAGGACTACAGACTCCATGTCAAAAAGCAAACAGAGGCAGCCTTCCTCTGTGATGGGGGTTGGCCTCTAACTCCTGGCACTTGGCTACTCCAGCCTTGGGAGTGCTGAGGTTACAGGTAGGAGCTGCCGCACCTGGTTTATGAGGGCTGGGGTTTGAACCCAGGGCATCCTAGGCAAGCACCTTACCATCTGAGCTACAAGAACTCTACCAGTGGAGCTCCAGCCCCGGCTCTGGTCAAACTTTTGGAGGTGACTCAGACTCCACAGGTGTCGAGGCGGTCACTGTGTGCGCCCTGGAGATGGGCGCTGAGCTGTGTTACCTGTGCACACCTGCAGATCACCTACATTAACTATCATCGGTTCATGGCCGCTATCATCCTGAGCGAGAAGCAATGCTGGGAACAGCTGAAGGAGAACAACAAGACCTGCGAAGGTAAACACAGGTCCTGGCGGGGTGGCGGGGGGGGGTGGGAGGGGGAATGACGACCACGCAGCTCAGGGCCCAGCCTGGGCTCACCCCTCCCCTCCCCCCGCCCCGCAGCCTTGCTCTTCAAGCTGGGCGAGAAGGCTAAGACATTGGAGATGGAGGTGGCCAAGGAGAAGGCGGTGTGTGCCAAGGACAAGGAGAGCCTGCAGGCGGGGAAGCGGCAGGCGGAGGAGCAGCTGGCGGCCTGTGGCAAAGCACGGGAGCGGCAGCAGCAGGAGCAGCAGGTGACGGAGGAGCAGCTTCGCAAGGTGCAGGCCCTGTGCCTCCCGCTGGACCAGGACAAGTTCCAGGCGGACGCGCTGAGTGCGTGGCGGGATTCGTTGATCCAGCGCTCCCTGGATAACCTGGGCTACCACTACCCCTCGCTGGTGCCCGAGATCGCGTCCCTCCGCCGGACGTGCGAGCACCTGCCCGGGCTCATGAACTCCAAGGTGGAAGAGCTGGCGCGCGGGCTGCGCATGGGCATCGAGCGCGTGACCCGCGAGAACGCGGAGCTGCGGCGGCAGAAGCTGGAGGTGGAGCGTGGGGCGCAGAGCACGCAGGAGGCGCGGGCGCGCGCCGAGGCGGAGGCGCAGGCACGCGAGAGCCAGCTGCGGGCGGAGTGCGCGCGCCAGACGCAGCTGGCGCTGGAGGAGAAGGCGGCGCTGCGCGCGCAGCGGGAAGGCCTGGCGCGCGATCTAGAGGCGCGCAAGCGCGAGCTGGAGCAGCTCCGCACCGAGGTGGATGTGCGCATCAGCGCGCTGGACGCCTGTCTGAAGGCCAAGGTGGGCCGGCCTGGCCCGCTGATGGGGGATGGATATCCTGGGTGCAGTCTGGGGCCCTGGAAGGGTCATCCTGGAGGGTGGTATGGGAGCTGAGGCCGGAGGATGCCATTGAAGGCCGGAAGCTGGGCCAGGGCTAGGTGGTGGGAATCTGGTTTGGAGTGGGTTTGAGTTCAGTTGAAGGGAGAGGGTTGCAGGTGATGTGGGGCTGTGGTGGCCTCGATTTCCCGCCTAAGTCAAACTCCTCCATGACGCCTCAGATTGGTCTGCGTTAGGATCTAAGTTTCTTGGGCCAGGAATGGTGACAAGAGTCTCTAATCCTAACATTCAGCATTCAGGGGCAGAAGGACCTCAGTGAGTTGGAGGCCAGCCTGGTCTAAATAGTGAGTACCAGACTAGCCATGGTTAGGCAGAGAGACCAACAGAAAATCACCCAGCTAGATTGCTCAGGTCTTTGTAGGGGAGGAGGGACCCGGCTCCGCCAACCTCTCGCCAACCTCTCCTGCTCTTTCCCCAGTCGCAGCCTCCCGCCCTCCCGCCAAGACTGCCCCCGGGCCCAGCCCCTCCTCCGCCCATAGGTGAGTGACGGCCAGAAGGGCTCCCCACCCCAGCTCGCCTCTCCTAGGTTGCCCACAGGAATCCTCATTTTTCCTATAGATCCTGCTAGCCTGGAGGAGTTCAAGAAAAGAATCCTGGAGTCCCAGCGTCCCCCGCTGGTCAACCCTGCAGTCCCACCCAGGTGAGGTGCAAACCCTCTGGGGTCTCCGTACAGGAGTATAGACAAAGGAAGTCTGATCAGGCTGGGGAGGAGGGAGGCAGAGGTCACACCTGCTGCCTCCATAATGGAGCACCTGCTGTATACTAGGGCATGGCAGGTATACCGACGTGACCATACTCCAGACAGGCAAGGCAGGGCTTTGGAGGGAGAGAGATTCTGTGAGGATGGAGAGGAGCCGGCCACAGGGAAACAAAGGGAATGGTGTCTTGGGCGCTAGACCAGCCAGCTCAGAGGCTGGGGCGCTGCACTGGGTCCGTGGAGTGGTGCGCCGTCCTGGGTCTCGTCAGGTGTACCCTGAATGCGTATGTGAAGGCGAGACCCCAGCCTGGCTGTGGTTTCTCATAGTCATCCACTGTGGTTTTACGGTTCCCCTTCCATTTATTTGAGGACAAGCAGGTGCCACGGCAAAGAACAACTCGCTCCGTGGGTCATGGGGATTGAACTCCCCAGGCCTGGTGGCAGAGACTTTACTGGTCTCTGCTGGCCCACCCGCGATGGTTTCTGTGGTTCTCTGGAGACAGGGTCTCTATATGTAGGCCAGAGAGTGCTGAGATTAAAGTCATGTGTCATCACACCCAACCACCAGTATCTGACCCAGACTTTGTCACTGGCCTTGCTGACTGGCCATGGGCGTGAGAGCGGCCACCCCACTCCCCCCCCCATCCTGTACAAATGCACCCACGCGCCACACTCAGCTCTCTTTCCTGTGGCCTGGGATCAAACTCGGGTCCTTTCGCCCCACGGCTGTCACCGCGCTGTCTGCCTGCCCCAGAGCCTCCGATCACTTCTGCAGATCGGGAGCTGGGCTGGAGAGAAGGCTCCGCTGGTAGAGCAGCTTGTGGCCAAGCCTGGCAGCCCGCACTCCATCCCCGGGGCCCACACAGCGGGCGTGGAGAACGGACTCCAGCCATGGCATAGGAGGGCCATGATAAAAATAAGGAAATAAATAGACCAGCCAGAGTGGGGACCTGGGCCACAGCCCCAGACCCTTCCCCAGTGAAGGCCATTAAAGGTGAAGGCCGTCAAACGGTAACTATGCAGTGCAGCCACAGTCAAAGAGGGCGCAGACTGTCCTCGGAGCATTGGCCCAGTGCCCACCCCCCCTCGCTGCGTCACCACCCCAGTCATCCGCTGGAGACGCCAAGTGTGTGTGAGTGCGTCATAGGGAAGGTGACTCAGGGACTGTTCCCTGTGGAGCCCAGGCCACTCCGGTTGAGATCGGTTCAGGTCACAGCACCTGGGTGACCCGGTCGAGACCAGGTCCTTCGCCCACCTGTCATCTCAGCACCCAGGAGGGATTGAAAGTTCAAGGCCAACCTGGGCTACTGAGAAATCTCGTATCTGAGCAGGTTCCAAGGCTCAGGCAGTCTCTGGGACTTGTAGTAGGTGATTGTCCATGTGTGTCTGTGCACAGAAACAGTATCGGATCCTGTTACAGATGGTTGTGAGCTGCCATGTGGGTGCAGGGAATTGAACCCAGATCCTCTGAAAGAACAGCCAGTGCAGCTGGGCGTTGGTGGTGCACGCCTTTAACACCAGCACTCGGGAGGCAGATCTCTGTGAGTTTGAGGCCAGCCTGGTCTGCAAGAGCTAGTTCCAGGACAGCCAGGGCTACACAGAGAAACCCTGTCTCGAAATCCCTCCCCCCAAAAAAGAACAGCCAGTGCTGCCTCCTGAGTGCTGTGATTACAGGTGTGTGTCACCACTCCCTGGCATGATACTGATTTTTAAGTAGATTTATTTATTGTTTGAGACAGGTTCTTACGCTGTAGCCATGGCTGTCCTGGAATTCGCTCTGTAGACCAGGCTGGCCTAGAACTCATAGAGATCGGCCTGCCTCTGCCTCCTGAGTTCGTAGCCCAGGCTGGCCTCAAACCCAATCCCTCTGTCTCCTTCAGCATCTCCCGCTGGCGCACACCGCCACATCGGCTGTTTACTTTCGTGTGTGTGTGTAGGAGGGCATTGGAGTCAGGGCCTCGGGAAGAGCAGCAGCTTTCACTGAGCTGGCCCCGACCCGTGTGAGCCGCTTGTTTTTGAGATTGGCCTCCAGCTCCTGACCATCCTACAAAACAGGTGGCCAGTGAGGAGTTGGCCTTGGTGGTGCTGACCTGTGAACCCAGCACTTGGAAGACCGAGGCAGGGGGATTGCAAGTTCCAGACTACATAGTGAATACTTTTTTTTTTTGAAAGAAAGGGGGAGGTGGGGGAGAAAGCAGAGAAAACATTGAAAAGGATGAAGAGAGAGGCCCTGCCTCCCTGCACGCTACCCCACCCTCCTGCCCTGTCCATCGAGGACAGGAAGTTTCTGTTCTGATCCCCACTTTTCAGAAGAGGAAACTGAGGACCTAGCCAGAGTCCCCACCCAGGACTGTCCGGTCTCAGTTGAGAACCAGGGGAAGCTTTTGACATTGTTTACATCAAATGTCACCAGTGTTGAGGGACAATGCTCACTCAGGCCTGCTCCCCCCACCCCGCCAGCCTTCAGGGTGCCAGGAAGGGCGGTCCCCAGGGACAGGGCCCTCAAGGGGCTTCTTCCTCGCCATCCAGACTCACTTCTCCCCATCCTACCTGCCTCGCTTTCACACTCGCTACGCAGCTGCATCTCCAAGGGTTGTTTTGAGACAGCGTCTGGCTAGACAGCCTTGCTGGTCCCAAACTTCGGACCTCCCTTATCAGCTTTGAAAGTCCGAGGTGGCTGGTGTGGTGGCATATACCTTTAACCCCAGCACTTAGAGGCAGAGGCAGCTGGATCTCAGTGAGTTCCAGGCCAACCTGGTCCACAGAGTGAGTTCCAGGACAGCCAAGGCTACATAAAGACCCTGTCTCCAAAAAAATAATAAATAAATAAAATTAAATGAGTCTGGCCGGGCGTTGGTGGCGCACGCCTTTAATCCCAGCACTCGGGAGGCAGAGGCAGGCAGATCTCTGTGAGTTCGAGACTAGCCTGGACTACCAAGTGAGTTCCAGGACAGCCTCCAAAGCCACAGAGAAACCCTGTCTCGAAAAAAACCAAAAAAAAAAAAATTAAATGAGTGTGGGTTGATACCTATCCCCACATCCAACTTTAGCGTCATTTAATTAGTTAGTTTCATTATTTTGAGACAGGATCTCACCATATAGATCATGCTGGCCTGCAACTCACAGAGATCTGCTTGAGTGCTGGGATTAATTAATAGGGTGCACCACCACCCCAGATACCACATCCACTTAGTTATTTATCTATTTATTTGTTTTTATTTTGTGTGTATGAGTGTTTTCTGTGTGTCTGCCTGTGCACCACATGCCGTGGGGCCAGACGAGGGCGTCAGGGCCCCAGCAACTGGAGTTAGAAGTGATTCTTAGCCACCATGTGGTGTTGAGAAGCCAGGCCCTGTGCAGGAGTGGCCTGTGATCCTACCTTAGCACTGAGCTTGGTTCTCCTCAACCCGTTTTTAAAACAAAATATTCAGCCTCCAAATGTCTCTGTGTGTGTGGTGTATGACCTGTGTGTGTGACACGCCTGTGACATCCAAATGTCTCTGTGTGTGGTGTATGACCTGTGTGACACGCCTGTGACATCCAAATGTCTGTGTGTGTGGTGTGTGACCTGTGTGACACGCCTGTGACATCCAAATGTCTGTGTGTGTGGTGTGTGACCTGTGTGTCACATGCCTGTGGAAGCCAGAGGAGGACCATGGTGTCCTCTGTCATCGCTGAGCTAATGCTCTTGAAACCAGGTCCTCTCACTGGCCCCAGCACAGCCTCCTCCAGTGGGGTCACAGCTGCTGGTGTAGACACACCAGATTTTTGTTGTTGTTATTTTTATTTATTTGTTTTTGTTTCTTTGAGACAAGGTCTCACTGTGTAGACCGGGCTGGCCTCCAACTCACAGAGGTCCTCCAGCCTCTGCGTCCAGGGTCTGGGATTAAGAGTGTACCCCATCATGCCTGGCCAGCACTGGGCTTTTTAATTGGACCCCAAGGGTTCCAACTCAGGTTGCCATGCTGTCGAAGTAACCCTGTTTCCCACAGAGCCATCTCCTCCACCGTTTATGGGGGGGGCACGAGCGTGGCTGCAGCCATCAGAACACTTGCCCCTCCTGTAGAAGTTACCGTGGGATTTACTTGTATGTGCGCATGGAAGCCACAGCACCTGGACACCTTGTAGGAGTCAGTTGTCTCCTTCTACGTTGTGGGTCTTGGGGGTCATCAGGGCTCCGCAAGGGTCGTCATTTGGTTTGGGAGTGTTTGTTGTTGTTGCTTGTTTGTTTGTTTTCTTTTCTTTTCTTGGGGGGGTTGGCGTTTCGATCTCATGAAGCCCAGGCTGGCCTCAAACTCCCAATGTAGCTGAGGCTGGCCTTGAACTCCTGCCCCTCCTGCCCCCTCTGCATTTTGAGTCCTGATTCTCAGGTCTCACATCCCTGAGGAGTTCAGAGGCAGGGTGACACAGGCCAAGGGATAGTCAGGAGGGGACCAGACAAGGCCAGCTGAGTCGGACTGGGGTGGCAGGCTGGCACCTCAGGAGTCTCAGGAAGGGACCCAGGCCCCAGGGCCACTCTCCTGCCCCCTTCCAATTCCTGCTTGCCCCTGCCAAGACAGTCACTCTGGAGACTTCTTATCTGGACCAGTGTGATGACCTGTCTGTCATCTCGGTACCCTGGCTGTAGAGGCAGGAGCTTCTCTGAACGTTTGAGGCCAGCCTGGTCTACACAGTGAGTCCCTGTCTCAAAGGCAGACGGAGGAAGATAGGGCCTGAAAGAACCCATACGTGGACCAGCCAAGTCTCCGGTGGCGTGGAGACGCGTGTATCTTGTGAGGTTTTCACAATGACTGATGGTATATGTGCACATGTGAAAACACATGTGGGGACATAGGACAACATCCTTCCGCCATGTGACTCCTTAGGGATCAAATTCAGATCTTCAGACTTGGCTGCAAGCCCCTTCCCCGGCTGTGCCCTCTCGCTGGCCCGTGATTTTATTATTTTTCCTTAACTTCTGACATTGCGGGAAGACACAGACTGTACTGGAATCTTCCACAGGGACCTAGGCAAGGGAGGAATCTGGGGATTCTGGGTAGTGTGCCTGGAAAGGAATGGCAGTGAGGTGACAGGAACAGAGCCTCCTCATGGCTTTGGCAAGGACTTTGGGGGCCTCAGAGGCTATGACCAGCACCAGGGCTGGGCCCACACGGAGACTCAGCGTTCACTGTGGTTGATTTGGGGGAAGTGACCTGGGCAAGAACAGAGGTCACCAGGCAGTCTGAGATGGGACGGCAGCTGGAGCCTGGCAGGTGACCAGAGCCAGCCAGAGCGTGAGGTCTAGGGGCCCCAGGGAAGAGCTGGGGAAGGAAGGGAGGGGGAGAGGAAGCCAGACTTAGCTGCGACCCCCCTCCCCACCAGGAAATGCCTCAGCGCCACCCCTGACCCCACAGGAGCTCCTCTGCCAGGCCCAGTGGGGAGGGCATTCCAGACCCAGACGTGCAGGGGGGATGGGGCGGAAGCCTCTCGGAATTGTTGGCACTGGGTGGGGTTGATGTCCCTGGGGGGGAGGGGAGAGCAGGAGGATGGACCCTGGTGTCAGCCTCTGAAGCTGTGGACTTTGGTGTTGGTCGGGGGGGGGGTTCCACTGTGGCGTAAGAGTGACCAAGAGAGAGAAAAGCAGAGTCCTAGCTGCAGGAGGCTGAGGCAGGACTTCGAGTCAGAAGCCAGCCTGCACTACACGTGGAGACCCAGGGTTAGGGTGCCTAGGGCCCTGTGTATCCCTCTGGACCCCAGTGTCACCGTCTGTGAGCTTGAGGAACTTGGGTCTAAGCTGGAGCGCGTCCCTGGGAGAGGCCCGGGAAGCAGACCACAGAATGGTGTCATGCCCCTGCTGCAGTCCAGCCCCTGGCTCCTCAGCCTCTGCTGACTCCCGCGCTTTCGGCCTCTTCCTTCCCCAGTGGCTGAGGAAGCAGCTGCTGCAGGACCCTGGGCACGACACTGGCCCATCTGAGGATGGTGGCGGCCAGATGCCCAACGCGCTGGATGCCTCCTGCTCTGCCCCACGCCCCCATCACTGCCCTCTGCTCCCCACCGTCTCCCAGACACTGGTCTGAGGCACATACAGCTGTGGATGACCAAACGGAGCCCCGCCTGTCCACGAAGCACCCACGGCTCAGCTGCCACCGCAGGCGCCCTCCTCCAGTGTGGTTTCACTGGTGCCTGGCCCCGGGGGTGAGGACAGGAAACCTGGCCTCAGCTCCCTTGGGACTTTCCAGGTTCCGATTAAGGCGCTGGGGGTTTCCTGGTCCTCCTTGAGAGTCTCCAGGGCTCCCCTGTGTTCTTTCGAGGCCCCAAGAAACAGAGTTTTCATTAGGTTTTAAACCCTTTTCCAGGGTCTCCAGGCTCCCCTCCCCACAAGGAAGGGCCTGGCCAGCCGGAGAGGGTCCCCATGTGTCTCACAGAGCCTGGGGGGGGGGCTTCCCCACACCGCCTTGCTTGTATCCCTTAACGATGTTAGTGGCACGAAATAAATATCATGGGATCCCTTGAAGGCTGGTTTCGGTTTATTTTATTTATCTGTATACAAGGTCTTACTGTGGTTGATCTTCAGCTGTATCTCAGCCTCCCGAGGGATGCCGTGTGCCGAGTGGGGGCTGCAGAGACAGGGCTCTGCAGTTTAGGGTGCTGGCTGCTCTTGGAGGGGACTCAAATTTGGTTCCCAGCGCCCACATGGCAGCTCACAACCTTCCCACATCCAGGTTGGCGTCCTCTCTTGCCCTCCAACGGCAGCAGCAGGCGCACTCAGCCACACAGAGTGGAACAGTAACGCTTTAGAGAGACAGACCGCAGCCGCGTGACGCACAGACCGTAGCTGCCTGACGCACAGACCGCAGCCGCACCTTCCAGCCCAGTCGGGGTTCAGCCGGTGCAGCTCAGCGGGTAGTGTAGTCAGTTACTGGTGCGCTCGCCGTGTAGCGTGCCCGGAGCCCTTGGCTCCATTTCCAGCACCACGAAACTGGGTGTGGCAGCACACATTTACTGTCCCAGCGCCAAGGAGGCTGAGGCAGGAGGGTCAGGACTTGAAGGCCAGCCCGGGCTACAGGAGAGCCTGTTTCAACCATGAAAAATAAGAATTAAAAGCCACACACACCACCTACTACTGTTGCAAACATTTAAAGGAACATTTCCTCAGGCTTGGAGGATGCAAAACAAACCGTGACCCTTATGGAAGCAAGCTTCGGGAGGTAAGCCGAGCACGGTGGAGCAGGCCTGTCAGCGCTGGTGGGGGCGCAGGGCTGAGGCAGGAGACTGAAGAGCAAGGCCAGTCCCAGCCCTGCAGCAAGCAGGAGCCATCCAGGGAAAGGGGCTCAGGAGGAGGCGGCTACTCCCCCAACGCTGGCCGGGGTGGGAGCCGGGGATGAGTCACGAGGCCCGCAGCGCCACACTCTGCTCTGCTCCTCCGGGACAAAGCTGCGATATTTCCTGGATCCGGAAACACGGGCGAGAGCCTGTCACTGCAGGAAACACTTGGCTGGGGCCCGGCCAACAGGGCCACCAGGGGTCAGCTTGGGAGGCCTCCGGGACAGCCGGACTGGAAGCCCCAAGGAACTGGGGATGTCCCTGGCCCCGAGCCTGAGTCTTGGGATGAAGCCGGCCTGGTGACCGCAGAGAGCTGCTTAAGATCTCATAGCTACAGTCCTGGGTGCGAATCCCACTCCGACCCAGCCTCTGTTTCCTCTTCCAAGACACCCTATCCCAAATCTGTAACCTCAGCTGCTTGGGAGACCGAAGCAGGATTGCTTAAGCCCAAGAGTTCCTGGCCAGCCTGGGCCATACAGCGAACCCCCTCGAGCCGCAGTAAGAGTGTAGTGTGTAAGCCTTCAGACTCACAGGCTGCCCTGCGGACCTGAGACCCTGTTAAAGGACACCCGAGCCGCAGTCCCCAGCAGCTGCCTCAGCAGGGTCCTGGCTGGTCCATGGCTGTCTTCCCATCATGGAGTCTGCTGCTCACACACCCTCCATGGCTCCCCATTACCCCACAAAGGCTAGTTTCTTAACCCTTTGTCAGCTCACAGAACCGGTGAAGCCCTAGCTGCTCTCTGAAGTTCTGGTCAGGACTTAAGATGAGCAAGGCTCATTTGCTTGGTTTGTGACCTTTTTTCCCCCTTGTTTTTGAGACTAGAGTCTCATAATGTAGCCCAGGCTGGCCTCCAACTTGGAGATTCTCCTGCCTCTGCCTCCCCAAGTGTTGGGACTGAAGATGTGGGCCACCACACCTGGTAGCCCCATGCTTTAGACTGTCCTGACACGGGCGGAGCAGCCTCCACGATGCTGGGACCGCGGGCGCACTAACGTGCCTGGCAATACTTTGCCTTGCCCGAGAAACTTCTCTGTTCAGGACCAGGGTTTGCAAAATAAATCTTCGAACCATGCCCTGGCGATGGTCCGTGGGTGAGAGCAGCGACCTGAACGCCAGGGCGACTGTACACCGCAGGCTGCTGAGCGGGGCCTCCAGTCCCGAGACCTGTCCCGTGACCGCCTGGTGGTCCTCTCGGACCCGCACATCCTCGGGCAGGCTCAGCTGTGCCCTCCTCCGGGCAGCCTCCCTGGATTCCACAGGTACAGCCCTCGTCCCTTGGGCCCCCAGCCCTGGCGGAAGGGGGCCCAGTGCCCGGTCGCAGCCGCCTCCGCTGGGTGAGGCCCTGACTCTTTGGGGACTTCCTGCGTCCTCTATAAATAACCCCCCCGCCGCTTCCCACAAACTCCTCACCCTTCTTGGAAAAAAGGGACAGCGGCCAAGGCCTCGGTGCAGCTGTGTGCCAGCCCCGAGGCGGGCGGGCGAACTGCCCGGAGGCCCGGCCCCGCCCAGCGCGCGGCGCCGCAGCTCCTCCCGGGAGCCGTAGGACCCTTCCCCTGTCCACGGCAGGATCTGGGCTGGGCACAAGCTGGAGGACCGGAGTCCTCATCGATGAGGACGCGGCCTGGGGACAGCTGGGAGTTACGCGAGGGACGCTCGCCCTCTGCTGGCCGGCTGCCGCTACGCCAGGCGGCACCGCCTCACTGCCGCCACCTCGCGGCCTCAGCACGGATGTCGCCTCTGCAGGGTCTGTCCCAAGTCCCTGACAAGCCAGATCTCCTTGTAGCCACGCCAGGAGACCCAAGGGCAGTCCCCAGCACCCTTCAAGGTTGCCGGTCACAGAAGGTCCTGACAAAGCTCAATGTGGGGTGCAACTGCTCAGACCCAAAACCCGAGGCCATTTCCCCGACCTCCCTTTTCTGATCTGTAGATGGGGAATATTCGTGGTGTACTGCTGAGGCCCCATCTACAAAATAGAACCCAACCCAAACACTAAAAATAAACACAAACAAAACACTCGAAAAGGCTGGCTAGATGGCTCTGCAGATAAAAAGCGTTTGCAGCCCAAAAGGATTTGAATTCGGTCCCCAGCCCCCACTCACCGCACACATGATGACCCGGTTCAATCTCAGGTCCCTTAGCATCGCAGAGGACTCCTGCAAACCGTCCCCTGACCACCCCCACGTGTGCTGTGTCCCTTTTGCACTGGCCAGTGGCGCCCACAGACCGTCTGCTTAAAGTGTACGCAGCAGTAAACAGGGCTGACCCTTCACTCCTCATCTCGGGGAAACGACAGAGCCTCACACTGTCCAGGAGGAGGCGGGGCCTGGGGCGGGAGGCACAGGACATTTTCTGTTTCTCTGTGGCTTTGGAGGCTGGCCTGGAACTCACTCTGTAGACCAGGCTGGTCTCGAACTCACAAAGATCCGCCTGCCTCAGCCTCCCGAGTGCTGGTGTTAAAGGCGAGCGCCACCAACGCCCGGCTTAGGCCGACATTTTCTTTAATGGTGTAGTCACAGTCAGAGAAATCTGAGACAGGAAGACTTAGGAGGAGGAAGGGACTCAGGAGCGGGGACGAGACAGATGGTAGAGGATACAATCAGGCCATATTAGATACACGGATGGAAATGTCACAGCAAATTTATTCAAAATAATACATGCCACCACAGAAGTAAAAATAAATAAATAAATATATGCTTGACATATGATCCAGAGAGAAAATACATAGGCAAACTTCCGGAAGGTAAGGCTGACTGTCAGGTCCTTGTGAACAAACATTTCTGGATCACCTGAACTCTTCTTACTCCTTTGGCAGTTAAAAATACAAAAGCATGAAGCTAGGTGGGCCCCTGCCTAGAATACCCCAGTGAGGGGCTGGGGCGTGGCTCAGGGGTGGAGCCCTGCCTAGAATGCCCCAGTGAGGGCTGGGGGCGTGGCTCAGGGGTGGAGCCCTGCCAAGAATGCCCCAGTGAGGGGCTGGGGCGTGGCTCAGCATCTACCCTGTAAGGGCTTCACCTCCAGCACTTGGCAGTGATGGAGGCCTGCATCTGAGCAGCCGGAGCATAGCCACCCTGGCACACGTGGCCTCCCGTCTCTGTTCATTGTGGAGGGAACCGGCCTGAGGGCTGCGGATCCCCGGTGCTCCCCCGCAAGCTGCTGTCATCTTAGATCAGGATCTCGTGACGATTCTGAGGCCCCTGCCAGGCGCTGGCCCTCACTTGCCCACACAGAAGTCCTGGAAGATGAGGTCCAGGACCTCTGCGGTGCCTCCTCCCCCTGTGAGGTGACTCAGGTGCCTGCGAGCCAGGCGCAGGGCCTCGGCTGCCAGGGCCAGGTCTGCCGAGGGCTGGTAGTGGCTGAGGGCGTCCCGGCAGCTCTGCAGGTGGTGCTGGTGCCTAGCGCGGGTCAGGAGAGGTGGGTCTGTGCGCGGGTCCCCACACCTGCCAGAGACAAAGTGGTGTCTCACTCAGCCTGTGCGGCCACCTTTTGAACAGGGCCCCCCACTGCACCCCTTTTACAGAGAGAGAAACAGGCTGAGGGACAGGACTGAGCCCTAAGCCAGCAGCTCTGCCTGCACTCGAGCTGGGGTCGGGGAAGCTGAAAGAGGCGGAGAGGAACTCACACGGCAGTCAGCTCGGCTTTCAGGGCCTGCAGGAGGCCGTCCAGCCCAGCGCCAGTGCGGCAGGACAGCAGCAGGTGCGGTAGCCCCGCCGGGGCGCTGTCTCCGGCCGGGGTGCTGGCGGGAAGCAGGTCCGATTTGTTGAGAAGCAGCAGGAAGCGCTGCGCGACACGGTTGGGGCTTTGTGCCACCAGTGGGGCCACCACAGTGTCCAGGAAGCTGCGACTGGAGGGGGAGGTCAGGTCGGAGGCATCTAGTACCCCCAGGATGATGTCGGCCTGTTCCAACCTGGGCGGGAGGGGGGGAGCCATTCTGTGGGCACAGCCACGGAGGCCTGGGATAGCAGAGGGAGACTGCGGGGCATGGACCAGGGCTCGGCTGGGATACGGCAGGAGACGGCCCTGGAGGAAAGTAAGGGACCAGCCACGTGTGCGTCTCAAGCAAATTACAGGTCCCTCTACCCCCAACTCCGAGGAGCGCAAAACCTTCTATTTCAGGAGCAATGAGGTAGGCAAAGGGGGGGGGGGGGGACAGAGGCCCCAGGGGGCCTGGTCTGCAGGCGCCACCCACCTCTGGCGAGCCCTGCGCACACCCTCCTGCTCAACCGCGCCCACGCCTTCCCGCAGCCCAGCAGTGTCACTCAGCAACACAGGAAACCCGGCCAGGTCCACGGGGGTCTCCAGCACGTCACGGGTGGTCCCTGGCTCTGGGGACACGATGGACAAAGGCTTCCGGCCTGAAGGGTAGGGGTGTCATGAAGTGAGAGGCCCCCGTTTTGGAATGCACCCCGCCCACCCTGGCCGAGGCACGTACTGAGCAGGTTGACGAGGCTGCTCTTGCCCGCATTGGGGGGGTCCGGCCACCACAACGTGCGCCCCTGAGCGGAGCCTCTCACCGCGCCGGGCATCTCGCAGGTGGGAATCCAGCGCAGCCTTCAGGGTTCGAACGTCTCTGTCCACTGTGAGACGGAGGAGGCAGGCCCAGGAGAGGCAGTCAGGGGGAGCTCAGGGGGCTGAGACGCTAGCCCCCGCCAAAGGCAGACGTACCCTGCTCCAGCACGCCCTCTTCCAAGTTGTCATCCTCCGCGAAGTCAATGTAGGCCTCCACATGGGCCAGAGCCTGGAGGAGGGACGGCATCATGGGTGCCCCAGCTTGACCTGCATGGCCAGACCTGCGTGTCACGGGCCTAGAGCTTTCTCTGAGGGACGGGTGGGTGAGCAAGCAGGTCTTGCCTTGGTGAGGGTCTTTGCCCAGCCTTGGCACAGCTGGCCCAGCTCCCCATCCAGCTGTCTGAGCGCCTGACGCCGCTGCGCCTCAGTTTCTGCGTGGATCAGATCTGCCAGCCCCTCCACCTCAGTCAGGCTCAGCTTTCCGTGGGCGAATGCCCTCCTGGTGAATTCCCCGGCCTCCGCTGGCCGCAGTCCTGGGACGCTACCTGAAAGCCATCGGCCAGACGGTGAGGTGAAGTAACAAACCCAAACCCTGGCTGAGCTGCTGGTGGCCTCTCTCCCCCACCCCCCGCCCCCGCAGGGAACACCAGGAAGTCCCCCGGTTCCCCGGGCTGGGCTCTGATGGGTCAGGTACCCGGCCTGGGTTAGGAGGTGTCTGTCAGAGCCCAGGCCGGGGCTGCTCAGGTCACCAGCAGCTGCGCCTCCCACACAGGTCCAGACCGACAGACATGTTAACTACCCATCTGAGATTTCCTGTGGCAAACACATGACCCTCCCCTGCCCCATCAGCCCCGAGTCGCAGGCAGCCTGGCTGTGATCCGGTACTGTGGCTGCTCAATCACCTCCCCGCATAGGACCCAGCCCTCCCTCCGACAGCCTCCACCAAACGCTTCCCGCTCTCGAGCCCGAGCTGTCCCCGCAGGCCTCCCCAGGCTGCAGTCTGTCTATGGCGTTAACCGTGCTCGTGCGTGCGCGCACCAGGAAGTCAGAAGACAGTTTGCACCAATCAGTTCCCTCACCACCGGGACCCCGGGACTGGAAGCCGGCTGGGTCCTGGCAGGAGTCGCCTTTCCTGGCTGAGCCAGGCGTCCAGAAGGCCCAAGTCACACGATAAGCCTATTCCCCCCATGAAAACCTGCAGTCCACACCCGAGGCCTTTCAGTCTCCCCAGGAACAGTCACCCAACGGAGCCTCACCCAACGCCTGCAGGACGCCGCTGACCACCGCGGGGCCGCCGTGCACGTGCAACTCCACGCAATCCTCACCCGTGAAGCTCCGGGGGCCTTGCATGGCAAAGAGCAGAGTCAGGCGACGAGCAGGGCCCGGAGGCGACCGAGCCCGGTCTCCAGCGCTGTGCGTCCCTAGGCCGGGCCCTCACCTGGGAACCAGAGGACGAGCGCGCGGTCCAGCGGCTCCCCGGAGCGCGGGTGGCGGAGAAGGCGCAGGGAGGCGCTGCGGGCCGGAGGCGGCTCCCGGGGCGCCGTGAGGCTGCGGAGCGCGAGCCCGCTGGCCGGGCCGCTGGTGCGGATCACCGCGACGGCGCAGCGGCCCCGGCCCGAGCTCAGCGCGAAGATGGTGCTTCCGGGGGCCCGGGACCCGGCGTCGCCGCCGCAGCGCCGCCTGGGGGTCGGGGAGCAGACGTCGAGCCTCGGGACGGCCCGCAGACGCGGCGGGCCGCGGGGCAGGGTGGGCGGAGGACCGGGGCCCGGCACCCGCGCCGCCCGGGCAGCCAGGGCGCTCAGCCCGCGCCACATGGATCCGCAGTCCGCAGGCGCCCGGCCCCGCCTCCCGCCCGCTGCCGGCTCTGGGAGGAAGTCCCGCCCCTCGGCGGCGTGACGGGCAGGGCGCCTCCTCCCCGGGGCCGCGGGGTGGCCTGTGGCTGCGCTCGCTATTGGCTGACACCGAGGGGCGTGCGCAGCTCAGGAGTGTCCCCCGGAAGTACGGGAGCGGGTGCTCGGGCTCTTAGGGCCGCCGGGAGCCGAGACCCCAGGGCGAGGAAGACGCCCCCGGCTCGCGTCTCTTCTCCGGTGTCCGTTCCGTAGCCTTAGAGGAGCCCGAAGCCTCGTGGGCTCAGCTCTCGCTTCCAGGAGGCGCAGTCAGCGAGCAAAGGCGCTTGTCGCCAAGCCCAACAGGCCGAGTCCGATCCCGGGACCACTCAGCGGAGAGGGCGAGGAGGAGGGAACGGGGGAGACCGGAAGCTCAAAGCATCTTAGTGACGGCCGGGGAGGAGTTCCGGGACCAACCGCGCCCCAGGCCACCAACGATCTGGTCCAAACTTTTTGGGGAGTTTCTTGCTGGCCTCCCGGGATCTCTCCGCTTCCCGCGCCCCCAGTTTTGCCAGCGGCAGCTCCCGGGCAAGCGTTTTCAGGCAGGAGCCACTTCCAGGCCTGGTTCCTCCTGCAGGAGGCTCCAGTCCAGTGCGGTCGGCCGCGGGTGCGATGTGCGCCGCTGGCTCCCGGAAAGGCCCGTGGGCTGCTGCCTTCAGGTTAAGCCAGGACGACGCTGAATGGCCGGGGAAGGCGGAGGCGCCCATTCCAGGCACGGGGCGGGGCCCCGGGAGCGCCTGGCTCGGCTGATTCTCTGGTTCTGGTCCCGTGCGGGCGGGCGCCGTTTAAAAACACGCTGTGGGGCGGGCGCCGGTGCAAACCCTCGGGTCATCTGCCCTACTTTCAGATGTGAAACGGGACAGTGCGGGTGTCCGTCTCCCGCGGCTCTCCTTTGCATACCGGACACGAAAAGCAACCTGGGCCCCTGCCTAGCCTGGGCTCACAGTCCTTCGGAGTGGGCCCCTGGGGACCCAGAGGAGCTGGGAGGCCTGCGAGGTGCTGACCCACGTGGTGGGGGAGAAAATCAATCCCTCATGCCCCCTGACCTCCCCACGTCCACCAGAGCACCCAGGACCTCACAGGTGTTCTAAAGTCGGGGGCTCAGGGCCGGGCGGTGGTGGCGCAGCCTTTAATCCCAGCACTTGGGAGGCAGAGGCAGGTGGATCTCTGTGAGTTCGAGACCAGCCTGGTCTACAGAGCGAGTTCCAGGACAGCCTCCAAAACAATACAGAGAAACCCTGTCTCGAAAAACAACTAATAATAATAATAATAAAGTCGGGGTCTCAGAAAAAAGGAGGCCGCCTACAGGCTTGGCTTCTGGAAGAGCATTCCCCAGCAGGCTGGGCTCCGCAGCGCTCCACCCCAGCAGCCCCTCACACACTCATGCGAGTTCCAGACAAACTTTCCTTTTCTATCCTAGACAGGGTTTCTCTCAGAGATCCGCCTGCCTCTGCCTCCCGAGTGCTGGGGTTAAAGGCGTGCGCCACCTTACTTTTTAAGATCTACTTTTTATTTTCACTTAAGCTGTGTACTTTCTGGTCAGGTGCATTCAGGGGCCGGAGGAGGTTGCGATATCTCTCGGAGCTGCAGTTACAGGGCGTGGGCACCGAACTGTGGTCTCCGGGAAAGAGCTCAAGGGCTCCTAACAGCAGGGCCATCTCTCCAGCTCGGCCCACTTTTCTCGAGGCGGGGTCTCGCATAACCCACAGTGGCCCCGAATTTGCTCTGTTGGGCCTTGAGTAGGGAGCTTTCTGCTCCCTGAGCTCAGGACCGAGGGCTCCGTGCGAGCCGGCCAGGCCCCATCCCGCCCCGCTGGCCACTGATGCCAGGCCTGGGCCTGTGTCTGCACCTCGGCCTGGGCCGGCCAGTTGCTCCCACTGTCTCGGAGCGAGGTGGCGAGGCCGGGTGCGCCTGTGGCGTTGCTCTGCACGACTGCAATCGCTGCCGTGAACTCAGGTCTCAGACTTGGCGGCAAGCGCCCTTATGCCCTGAGCGGCTTAACCGGTAACCCGGACCGTGTCCTGATCCCTGGACGGACGCGATATTGTAAGGGTGTGGGCGCAGAGTGCGGGAAGCGAAGCGTGTTTTGGGCTGGTGAACTATGGGGCAGGCTGGACCTGCTATAATTACTCACGGGGAAGTTGAGGCATTGTTCTCAGAAATGTCACCAACCGGGACCTCCCTCTCCCGCCTCCTGCAGCAGGAAAATCACGGGCAGCTCACACGCCCCGTGAACTCTATACTTGCAGATGGGTAAACGGAGGCTGACGGGCTGCGGGGGTGGGGGAGGGGGCGGGCGGGCACAAGCACCGGAGATCCTCGTGGGCGGGCGGGAAGGAAACGCAGAAAACCACACGGGCGGGGACGGGAAGCAGAGACCAGGCGGGCGGGACTGAAGGGCTGAGAGTGACGCGCGCGGGCTGGGGAGAAGAATCGAGGTTTGACTCGGGCGGGGACGACAAGCAATTGAAGCGCAGGGACGGCGGCCGGCGCGGGCGGGCGAGGGAGGCCTTTGTCTCCTCCTCCCGCGCGCTCGGTGGTGCCACCCGGGTCCCCATGAGCCCGCGGCCCCCCGGCGCCCGGGCGTCCCCCAGCCCCTGACCTGCCCTGTCCTCGCCATGGCCGAGGCGGCCTCGGGCGCCGGGGGCGCGACCCTGGAGGGGGAGCGGGGCAAGAGGCCCCCGCCCGAGGGCGAGTCCGCGGCGCCTGCGTCTGGAGTTCTGGGTACGTGAGCTGCGGGTGGCACCGGGACAGGTGCTCGGGTGCGCCCGGGGGCTTCGGGGCACGCAGATCGGGGTCACACATCCCGAGCCTGGCGTGTGGCCCAGGGGCCGCTCCTCGAGGCGCTGCGGCTGCGGCGCAGCGCACAGGGCTGGGGCAATGCGTCTGCACGGGGGTCCCCAGTGCTGGGACGTGGACACGCCCCTCTGATGGCCCCAGCTTGGCTTGTGTGAGCCCTGCCATCTGGAGACCCCCAGCACAGGGAAACGGTATGGACTCCCACGGTCCTGGGTTCGAATCCCACCTTGGTTAGGTGACCTTGAGCGCCTGGGTGTACTCTGTGGGCTTCAGTCTGGTGACCTGTGAAATGGGGTGAGGACTTCACTGTGTTCGCGCGGCTGCTTTAAGGACCGCGCTGTCATACCAAGAAGTCTCCAGGCTGCTTGTGGATACCCATTGATTGTGGTTTGGGAGGCGGAGCTGGGCCTCAACCATGAGTAAGATTTCCAAGGCAAGACTAGGGGGAAGGGCCTGGCTGGTGCCGGGGATGTGGAGAGAAGAGAGCAGGCCAGGCTGCGGGTGCTCGGGCCCGCGAGAGCTCTGGCGAGGCCGCTCAGTCCGGGGAGAGGCCTGACCCCTGCCCGGCCTGCCGCCTGCCCCACAGATAAACTCTTTGGGAAGCGGCTCCTGCAGGCTGGCCGCTACCTGGTGTCCCACAAGGCGTGGATGAAGACGGTGCCCACCGAGGACTGTGACGTGCTCATGACCTTCCCAGGTATACACGCCTGCCTGCCTGGGGCCTGGGGCAGCCTCTGTGGCTTGGGCGGAGATGTGGGGGGCCCTCCCGGGTCCCTCGAGGACAGACCCATTGGTCCCTGTGCCCCTTGGCAGACACCACTGATGACCACACGCTGCTGTGGCTGCTGAACCACATCCGAGTGGGCATCCCCGAGCTGATCGTGCAAGTTCGCCACCACCGCCACACGCGTGCCTATGCCTTCTTCGTCACTGCCACGTACGAGAGGCGAGTTCTCTCCCTCCGCCTCCCTCCGGCCCTGGCACGGGGCTCCCTGCCCTCTGACGGCCAACCGTGTCAACCACGTGTGTGTCCCGAGATGTGGCGTGCGAATTATCCTCAGCTTGGTGACGGTGAGCTGGGGCCCCGTGGTGAACCCTCTGTGCCCTGTCCTGTCCTGTCCACAGCCTGCTCCGGGGGGCTGACGAGCTGGGTCTACGCAAGGCAGTGAAGGCCGAGTTTGGCGGGGGCACCCGCAGTTTCTCCTGCGAAGAAGACTTCATCTACGAGAACGTGGAGAGCGAGCTGCGCTTCTTCACATCGCAGGTGACCGCCCTGTGCCCGTGTCTCTGTGCCCACGCTCCCGCGAGCCGAGCTCACACCCGTCTCCCCCCACAGGAGCGCCAGAGCATCATCCGATTCTGGCTGCAGAACCTACGGGCCAAGCAGGGGGAGGCACTGCACAACGTGCGCTTCTTGGAGGACCAGCCAATCAGTGAGCAGGGCGAGCCCGCCATCCAAATACCTGGGAGAGCTGGGCGTGTCAAAAGAGAGGTGAAGGAGGGCGGAGCTTACGGGAAACCAATCAAGGGCTAGGAAAGAGTTGGGCATCAATGAACCCAGTGGGCGTGGCCTCTGCCGGGCACCTGCTGCAAGGTTGCGAGAGGCGGAGGTGCCCGAGAAGGCGCCGGCAGGACCACGGACAGCGCCCACTTACTAGGCGGAGACGCCCACTGGAAAGCCAGTTTTCACAGGTTCACTTTTTCCCACCAGCCCAAGCAGAAACGGGGGTTAGATGCTAAAACACACTTGGTGCGAGCGGTGGGGACATGCCTGTGCTCTCCCAGGCCCCGGAGGCCGAGGCAGAGAGCTTGTTAGTTCATGATCAGCCCTGGCCACCAACGCCCGGCCCTGACTGCATTTTGAAACCCTCCTAACCGGGCGTGGTGGTGCGCGCTTTAATCCCAACCTGGCAGAGGCTGGCGGATCTTTGTGAGTTCTAGGACAGGTTCCAAAGCTACACAGAGAAATCCTGTTTCGAAAAAAGACAAAACAAACCAGGGAAACCCTCCTGGTTTCCGGCCATCTCTGCCCCTCCCAAATCCATCTCCCCAGATCCTGGGCAGCCACACCCAGCTTATGCCAGGATGGCCTTTGTGTATGCTCCGCGAGCACTCTACCCACCAGGCCACATTCCCGGCAAAAAAGCTATGACATTGGTTCAGCCAAGGTGGGCTGCCCGGGCTGTCATGCGGTGCGGGGCTCGGGTCATTGTCACTCTCCTCCTGCAGTCCCGGAGCTGGCTGCCCGAGGCATCATACAGCAGGTGTTTCCAGTCCACGAGCAGCGCATTCTGAATCGTCTCATGAAGTCCTGGGTGCAGGCCGTATGTGAAAACCAACCTTTAGGTGTGGCTCCAGCGCTGAGGAGTGGGCTGGGGTCCCAGGAGACACTTGGAGGTGACCCAAACTCTCTCGTCCCCTGACAGATGACATCTGCGACTACTTTGGGGTAAAGATCGCCATGTATTTTGCCTGGCTGGGCTTCTACACGTCGGCAATGGTTTACCCTGCTGTCTTTGGCTCTGTTCTGTATACATTCACTGAGGCCGATCAGGTACCCGTGGGAGGCCGTGGGCCAGGACCTCCTTCCTCCATAAGATGGCTGTGTCTGACCTGGCTCTGTCATCTGCAGACGAGCCGGGACGTTTCCTGTGTTGTTTTTGCTCTCTTCAACGTGATCTGGTCCACACTGTTCTTGGAGGAGTGGAAACGGAGGGGGGCAGAGCTAGCCTACAAGTGGGGGACACTAGACTCACCTGGAGAAGCTGTGGAGGAGCCGCGACCCCAATTCAGGGTCAGTCTGGGGCTGAGGCTCGGCATTCAGACATTCCGTAAAGGAGAGAGATGCTGTGCTGGGGAAGGGCACCAGTGTGCGTGCGTGCGTGCGTGCATGCGTGTGTGTGTGTGTGTGTGTGTGTGTGTGTGTGTGTGTGTGTGTGTGTGTGTGTGTGTGTGTGTGAGAGGGGGGTGACAGGAGAGAGTGACTGTACCGTAGGGGTTGGGTGAGGTTTGAGGTTTGAGTGTCTCTTGTGGGAGAACCTGGGACCCTAGGGTCAGGAGGCGGGCGTGGCCCCTGCTCTCACACACTGGGCTTTCTGCTGGCTGCCAGGGCGTCCGCCGCATCAGCCCCATCACTCGGGCTGAGGAGTTCTACTACCCGCCCTGGAAGCGATTGCTCTTCCAGCTGCTCGTCAGCCTGCCTCTGTGCCTGGCCTGCCTTGTCTGTGTCTTCATACTGATGCTCGGCTGCTTCCAGCTGCAGGTGACCCCACAGCCCCGCCCTTCCCCTAGCCTCCGCTCACGGAACACCAGGCCTGGCTTCACTCGGCTGAGCCCCCTGCCCTGCCCTGTCCCTTTTAGGAGCTGGTCCTGAGCGTGAAGGGCCTGCCCCGCCTGGTTCGATTCCTGCCCAAGGTCATGCTGGCCCTGCTGGTCAGCGTAAGTGCTGAGGGCTACAAGAAGTTAGCAGTGTGGCTCAACGACATGGGTATGGGCAGGCAGGGGAGGAGCCACCGTCCCGGGGACCCCACCGTCCCGGGGACCCCACCGTCCCGGGGATCCCCACAGCCCTCGGGAGGGGGCAGGCAGGGAGGTCCCCACCGTCCCGGGGACCCCATAGCCCTCGGGAGGGGGGCAGGGTGGCCCCTCACTCACCTCCTCGGCTCCTAGAGAATTACCGGCTAGAGAGCGCCTACGAGAGACACCTTATCATCAAAGTCGTCTTGGTGAGTGAGCCTGCATGGAAAGAGCCTAGGAGGATGGGAGAGGGGTGGGGACCGCAAGGCGGGACTGCAGGATGACCCCAGTCGCCTGCCTCCCAGTTCCAGTTTGTCAACTCGTACTTGAGTCTGTTCTACATCGGCTTCTACCTCAAAGACATGGACCGCTTGAAAGAGGTGAGGGCCTGCCCGCTGCCCCAAGGCCAGCATCCTGGCCCCCTGGGGATGGACTTGTGTAAGGGGTCCAGGGCTCTCCAGCCCCTCTCCCCCTCCTCCATCCTTCTCTCCTTTTTGTCCGTCTGTCCTCTCTGCCCGTCGTTCCCCTCTCCCACCTGTCCGTCCACCTGTCCGGTCGGTCCCTCCACAGCTCCTGCTACTCCTGTCCCTGACCCAGAGCCTCGAGCGGCAGCTGCGGGCGGCGCTGGTCCCGCTCGTGGCCCTGAGGTTCCGCCTGCTCCTCCTGTCCCTCCGGGGTTTCCTACTCGCGGCCCGGGCCAAAGTACGGGCAGGTGGCGAGCCTCCCCACGGTGTGGGCAGCGTGGCTATGCTGCGGGTGGGGACGGCGGGCATAGCGTGCATGCGCAAAAGGGTCTCCGGTGCAGGCCGAGGAAGGCCCATCAAGGCACCCAGCGTCCTGGGCGATGCCTGGGTGGGGTCGAGAGAGATGCGCTGAGAATCCTGGCCACTAAGCCGGCTGTCTGCGTTTCCCGCTGCTCAACCGCCTAATGCAGTTGCACTGGGGCTGAGCTGCGGCCTCGCGTCCAGAGTTGTGGGGTGGGGGTGGGCTGCAGGAGCCACCTGGAAGGGGGTGTGCGTCTTCTAGTGTGCGACCCTGTGCTGCCAGGCCCCACCCTCCCCACGTGGCCTCTTTCTGCCCGCAGATGCTGGCCACTCTGCTCATCACCCGGCAGCTGCTGCAGAACGTGCGGGAGGTGCTGCAGCCTCACCTGTACCGCAGGCTGGGCCGCGGGGAGCTGGGTCTGCGTGCCATGGGGGAACTGGCCCGGTCCCTGCTGGGCCTCTTGAACCCCCTGCGCCCGGATCCTCGACGGCATCTAGAAGCCCAGGCTGATGAGGGAAGAGCGGGGAGCCACAGGTGTCTGGGCGGAGGCTGTGGGGCTCCCGAGGAAGAGGAAGAGACGGCAGTGGAGCGTAGGCCGGCAGGGGAAGGCGGAGAGGTCCCAGATGGGCCTCGGGGTGGCAAGGAGGAGGACGACGACGAGGACGAGGAGGACGAGGAGGACTACGAGGACGAGGTCGAGGAAGGTGGCCTCCTGGACTGCGGGCTGCGCCTTAAGAAGGTCAGCTTTGTGGAGCGGGGCGCAGGGCGGCGCAGGCCAGGCCCGGGCCCCGAAGGCCTCCTGGAGGAGGGGAGCCCCACCATGGTGGAGAAAGGGCTGGAACCAGGCGTGTTTACGCTGGCCGAGGAAGACGATGAGTCGGAAGGGCCTCCCGGTAGCCCCGGGCCAGAGCCCCCGACCATCTTGCTGCGTCGTGCGGGTGGCGAGGGCCGCGACCAGGGTCCTGATGGAGGTCGAGACCCGGAGACCGGCCCCAGCGACACTGCTGGCAGACAGAGGAGGCACAACAGGTCCTCCTGGATCGACCCGCCGGAGGAGGAGCATTCTCCACAGCTCACTCAGGCAGAGCTGGAGAGCTGCATGAAGAAGTATGAGGTGAGAGCAGAACCGCCGCCTCACCTGGGGGTGAAGGCCCAAGATTGGGAGTTCAAGGACAGCTTGGTCACGCGGAACTCAAAGAGAGTCACATAGGGTTGTGTTGATGGTTGAGTTGGTGGACGGCTTGTCTAGAGCATGCAGAGCACTGGGCTGTACCCAGCACCACATTAACGTGGTGGAGCACGTCTACTGTCCCGACACTGGGAGGCAGAGGCAGGGAGACCAGAAGGACAAGGTCATTCTCTTACATATATATATTACATTCTGGACAAGCCTGGGCTACAGGATACCCTACCTTACAAAATAATCAGGAGTCCTGCGGTGGTGTCACACACCTTTAATGCCAGCACTTGGGAGGCAGAGGCAGGCGGATCTCTATGAGTTCGAGGACAGCCTGGTCTTCAGAGCGAGTTCAAGGACAGCCTGGGCTACACAGAGAAACCAATAAATAAACAGGACTGGAGTGCTGGCTGGGCAGATTCTTGTGCCCACATCAGCTGCTCACAAAAGCTGCTAACTCCAGCTCCAAGGGCTCTAACACCCCCTACTAGCCTCTAGGGACTTGCATACACACAGACACACAGGAATTCACACATACATAAATAAAACACAAATAAGTAAAAAGAAAAATAAGGACTAGTGATCTGGCTAAGGTGGTAAAGGCACTTGTCACACAGCTCTGACAGCCTCAGTCCAACCCATGGGGCCTCCATGGGGGAGGACAGGCCAGATACCCACAGGACCTCCATGGGGGGAGGAGAGGACGGATTGCCGAAACTTGTGCTCTGAACTCAAATCAGAAAGTCAGGGTGGACAGTGCCTGAGGAAGGGTGTCTACAGTTAAACCCTGGCCTCCACACGAGCTCACACAGGCACCAGTGCAAAGCATGCAAAGAAATAAAAAGCCCCCCATTACTACGAGGGGCACAGGGCAGGGGCGCATGCGAAGTGGAGGCAGATGTGCAAGCAGGAGTGTCAGGGTAAACGTGGGACATGGGTGTGCTGAGCACACCCTGGGAGCTAGTGGCCTTCGGCCCTGTGCAGGCAGAGTCTGAAGATGGGAGCGCCTGGGCTTGTCAGGGTGAGCGGAGGGAGCAGTGTCAAGCCTGATGGACCCCCTGTCCTCAGGACACGTTCCAGGACTACCAGGAGATGTTCGTGCAGTTTGGCTACGTAGTGCTCTTCTCTTCCGCCTTTCCGCTGGCTGCCCTGTGCGCCCTGGTCAACAACCTGATCGAGATCCGAAGCGATGCCTTCAAGCTATGCACCGGCCTACAGCGGCCCTTTGGACAGCGTGTGGAGAGCATCGGGCAGTGGCAGGTGGGCCAGTCAGGGAGGCCCAGAGGGGATGGCAGTCCCTGGCTGGACGTGTCCCTGAGCCTCCTGCCTCCCCTGCAGAAGGTCATGGAGGCGATGGGCGTGCTGGCCATCGTGGTGAACTGCTACCTCATTGGCCAGTGTGGCCAACTGCAGAGGCTCTTCCCCTGGCTCAGCCCGGAGGCGGCCATCGTGTCTGTGGTGGTGCTAGAGGTGTGGCTGGTGGCCCCGGGGCGGGAGCTGGGTGGGGAGCCCGGCATCCCTGAGCCTGCAGCCCCTGTCTGTCCCCCACAGCACTTGGCTCTGCTAGTCAAGTACCTCATCCATGCAGCCATCCCCGACATCCCAGGCTGGGTGGCCGAGGAGATGGCCAAACTGGAGTACCAGCGACGGGAAGCCTTCAAGGTACAGGGCTGGGGTCCGGATGATGCGGTTTCAGGAGGGAATAAATTTGAGGCTGAGTCCTTATCGAAAAACCCACGGGCTGCAGAGCGGGTAGCCACGCCCCCTACTCTCGGGTTCGGACCCACAGACTGCAGAGCGGGTAGCCACGCCCCCTACTCTCAGGTTCCGCACCCAAAGATTCCACCAACTTGGATGGAAAGTACTCAGTATTTGTAGGGTGTGGATGTGCACAGCTGTCATCCCAGCTCCTAGGAGTGAGGACAGGTGGATCAGTTCAAGGCCAGCCTGGGCTATGCACTGTGCTATCTCAAAAACCAAAGCAGCATTTGCATGTGTTCTGCGTATGTACAGACTGCTGCATTTCCCTTCTTTGTTTTGAGACTTAGCCCATCCTGGCCTCAAATTTGGAATGCCTGTGTCAGCCTTCTGAGAACAGGCATGTACCACCACATCTGGTGCTCACTTTAAATTCTTTATAATGCCCTTAGTGGTTGGGTTCTGCTGTGCAGCCCAGGCTTGCGGCTCCGTCCCCAGCCTCTCAGCTGGGACCACAGATACGGAGCACAGTGCCCCCTCAGAACAACCGTTCCCACCCAGAGACTTTCTTCTTTAGATGTGTTTTACTTTATGTTACAAGTGCTTTGCCTGCATGTGTGGCGCCACGTGCATGCAGTGCCCTTGGGCACCAGTAGAGGGCGTCAGAGCCCCCGGAGCTGAAGTTACAGATGGTTGTGAGCTGCATTGGGGGTGCTGGGGACTAAACGGGTCCTCTGCAAGAGCAGCCAGTGCTCTTTACCGCTAAACGGTCTCTCCTGCCGCATCTTAGGGACATTTAGTCTGCAGGAAGGGTGAGCAGATGACAAGCAGGGGCCGCTGCAGAAGGGACCAGAGCATCCGTTGTCCCACCCTTGTGGGTGCTAAGGGGTGACTGTACCCGCTGCTCACAGCGGTGGGTGTAGTCTAGATTCTTGATGGCGCAAACTTCAAACCCTGAAGAATGCTCGTTCTTCAGATGTCCAGTCTGCCTCTTCCAAACTGCTCTGCAAACCGCATGAAGGCCTGGGAGCCGCACCTTCTAGGGAAGACTAGCGTTCCCACCAGGAGCCAGGGTTCTAGGCTGACACTCCACCCTCCCTGGGGATTCTGGGCTGGGGCTCCACCCTGAGCCACGCCCCCAGCCCCTCCCTGGGGATTCTGGGCTGGGGCTCCACCCTGAGCCACGCCCCCAGCCCCCATCAGTTCCAAGCGGAATTTTAATTAGTTTACTTTGAGGTCCCTGGGCTCACGCCTGTGGTCCCAGTCCGGGGAAGTTGAGGCTGGCAGGTTCCCAGCTCTAAATCCGCGCTACACAGCGAACGCTCGTTCGAGAGGCCGCGATGGCTGTGGGGATCCCCGGGCTGAGGTCTGCGGTCTCCCCTGAGCGGCGGCCCGGTCTTCCCTCGCCCGGGTGGCGGGGCCCGGGCCCGGGCGCTCAGGCCGTGTCTCCCCGCAGCGGCACGAGCGGCAGGCGCAGCAGCGCTTCCAGCAGCAGCAGCGGCGCCGGCGCGAGGAGGAGGAGCGGCAGCGGCACGCGGAGCAGCAGGCGCGGCGGGAGCGCGACGCGGGCGGCCGCGAGGAGGCGCGCGCGGAGGTCCCGGGCCCCGACCCCGCGGCGGAGCGCGGCGCGGCCAAGGCCAAGGGCGGCGAGCGGCCCCGACGGCCCGGGGCGCTGCTGCCGCCCGGCCCGGTGCTGCGGCTGAAGCAGATCATCCCGCTGCAGGCCCGGCCGCCCGCGCCCGCCGGGTGCGCGCCCCCGCCGCGCTCGCCCGCGGACACGCGCCTGCCCGCCTTCCTCAGCCTGCGCTTCCTCAAGGCGCCCGAGCGCGGCCCGTCCCCGCCGCGGCCCGGGAAGCTGTTCGCCTTCGCGGCGCGCGAGCCCGCGGCCAACGGGGCCCCCGGGGGCGGCGCGCGCGCGCACAGGAGCGCCGGGGACGAGCCCGCGGCCGCCGAGCCGGAGCCGCGGCCCGAGGACGCAGGTCACAGGCCTTAACCGGGGCGCGCGTCGCGGGGGCCGTGGGCTCCGAGGGGCCCCGCGAACCGCGCTCTCCCTCCGCAGGGCCCACCTCGCCGCCCGCCGGCTGCTGGCGCTGGGACGCGCCCTGGGGCTGCGGCGACACCCCGCCCCGCGCGCCCGGCCCCGCGGAAGCCCCCGCGCGCCCCGCGCAGCCCGCCTGCTGGCCCGCAGCCCGCCACTAGCCCCGCCGCCCTCCCGACCTGGATGGGGCCACGAGCAGCCCCACGGGACAGACAAGTACACAGGACGGGCGGTTATTTATTTCTTTTTAATTTATTTTGTCATATTTTTGTAAAACGGCAGAAATGCAATAAAAAGTCTATTTCAACAGTGCTCGAGGTCATAGCGGGGGAGGGACCTCGGGGAGCCCGTAGCTGGAAGCGGAGCACTCGGCTCTCAGGATGAGGCCTCTAGGGGGCCCAGGGACCCCTCAGAGTGGCCTGGTCCAGAAGCAGCTCGTGCGACGCCAGGGCCCAGGTGGGACACAGGGACGGGGCACTGGGGGAGGGCGGGACACAGGGCGGGCACCAGGAGTCCCGCTGTGCCTTGGCCAGAGGTCAATCTGGCCAGCCCGCAGGGACCTGGGCGCCCCAGGTGGCGCTCCCGAGGCGGCACAGCGGTTGGCACAGCAAAGGCCGTCGCGGGAAGGCAGTGAACTCAGACCAAGCCCGAGGGTGGCAGACCCCAGGGCGCACACGAAAGCAGACGCCGCCTGGGGCAGGTGCTCAGGCCGGGGCGCACAAGCTTGAGGCTGAGGTGCCACTGGGGTCAGAACTGGCCCAGGCTGGCAGGGCCACAGTCGGGTGGCAGCTCCTGGGGGACACGGATGCCCTTGGCGTTGACCACAGCAGGGTGCAGCCTGCGAGCAAGGACCCCAGACACCCACACCCACGCGTGTACCATGGCACGGCCCAGGGTGGTGCACAGCCATCCCAGAGCTCCCCTACCCCGGGGCAGTGCTGCCTGGCCGTGAGCGCTGCACGAGGCCCAGGGACCCCAGGGCAGAGAGGCGTGGCAGTCCCCCGCCAGCCACTCCGGTATTCGTGTCTCTAGCCGAGTTGTGTGGACCAAAGACGCCAGGTGGAGTAGGAGAGATCCTTTTATTGGGGTGGGTGCGGAGCACGGGCTAGTCCATGATAAAATGACTTAAGAGAAAGATCCAGAAGGGCCGGCTCTCTGCTGCCCTGGCGTGGGCTCAGAGTGAAGCCTGGGCATGGGAGGGGCCCCGGAAACCCGGGGACCGAGACCCGGCGGCCGGCCTGTGGGTGGGAAGGAGCGAAAAGGCCGCTCGGTGTGTTGGGAGAGCAGGCCGCCCTGGGCTCTGGACCCTGGTGTCTTCTTGTTGGCGGGTGGCCGGGTGGGGGACACCGCTGTGCTTTACAAAAGCGTCTACCAACACCTTACGGCTGGGCCTGATGTCCTTTTAACCAATGCTTGACACGAGTTACAGCATAAATAAAAACTCAAGGAAAATAAATACACGGGTCCTATGAGGTTGAGGGTGCGGGCTGGGTGTAGGAGCTGGGCTGCGCTTACACAGGCGGGCCGGGCGGGAGCAGACGCGCTGCACGGGGCCTAGGTGTCCTCGGGCATGTCAGGGCTGTCGGTCCGGGCCACCTTGCGGGGCGGCGCCGAGGTCTCACCCTCCACCTCCACCTGCTCTTGGTCTCTCTTCTTGGCGGCGTTCTGTGTGGGGGGGGGAGAGGCGGGTGAGGACAGCGACAGCCAACAGCGGGGTCCATCTCCCTCCGTCTTCAGACGGCCCCTCCCAGCTCTGCTGGCCTCAAACTGTCTCTGCCTCCTCGCCACGCCCCACAGGCCACACGGGGACACCCTGCAAAGCACTCAGCTGCCCACGGCCGGGCCGGGCTTGTCTTCGAGGAAGCACGGGCCTGTAGCCGCCTGGGCTCAAATGAGACCGGTCTCAAAAAACCAAAACAACCTCATGGTCCCGTGTACCCCAGGCTGGCACCGAACACTCTCAGCTTCCTGAACACTGGGGTGACGGGCGCGTACCCTGGGAGGCCATGTTTTTGTCATACATACATTTCACTTTTACAGTCAAATGCCAAAACCAAGAGCTCTGGCTGTGCAGTGAGGCACGCCCCAGGTTCACCCCCAGTCTCTCGATACTTCTCCCCAGCGGTGGCCACCCGGAGAACTCCTATTCGATCCTCAAGGTCCCACACTACCATTCCCAGCCCCAGCCAGAGTCTTGCCTTTTTGTCCCATTGCTGGTGCAGGTACCGCAGGAGGATGTTCGTCTTTTCTGTCACAATGACTGAGGAGGGAGAGAGAGAGAGAGACATGGAGGCGCTGGGACCTCTACCGGCCTCCAGGCCTGCCTTGCTTTTCCTGGGTTCAAACCCAGCACTCCTTCCTGAGGACCCGAGGGCTGCCGCCCTTCCAGCTGCAAGTCACAGACACGCTCGGGCCTGGGCTAGGACCCCCCCCCCAGCCTGTTCTGGGGCACTGCCGGGCTCTGTCCTGGTTTGGGAGGCGAGGATGAAGTCCAGGCTCAGGGACACAGCCCCCCCCCCATTCTCCCAGGGCTCGTCTGAGACAACGCCACGCTGTGAGACACCACAGGAAATAGAAGCAGCGCAGGCCCAGTGAGGTGTGGACGCTCACACAGGGGGCATCACTGGAGTCTCGCTTCTTTCCAGGACAGGGTCGTTTTGAGTTTAAGGACTGGCTTTTGTTATTTTAAAGTGTGTGTGGGGTGCGTGTGTCTGAGGGCGCCACGAGAGGGCGTTGCATCCCCTGGTGGGCCGTGTGGTGCTGGGCGCCAGTCCCCTGCAGCAGCACGCGCCAACCCTGTGCGGCACCATGCATGGCTTCTACCTTGTGCTAGGTGGGTGCACACCCCGTCACCGTCACCGTGGGCTCTGGGGACCGAGTCAGGCCCTCTGGCCTGGTGGCCGGCACCTTTACCAGAGCCATCCCCCAGACCTCAGAGCTTCGTTTATTTGGTTAGGTCCCGATGAGACTCTAGCTGACCCGGACTCTGCAGACCAGGCTGGCCGTAGACTAAATCCATCTGCTTCTGCCTCCCGATGCTTGGATTAGAGTGTGCGCCACACCTGGCTTCCAGATCCTTTCTTGACAGGAAAAGCACCAGGCCCTTGGTCTCCTATGCCACAGCCCACGGCCTGGCATTACTGCCCATGGCCCAGTATGGTCCCTGCCCTCACCAGGGCACTGGTCATGTGTGCACTGCCTCAGCCAGAGAAGGGCCATGGTGCTGCCCTCACTTCCCTCTGCTGATGGGTTCTCGGTTTGCTTTGGTGCCAGGCTGGCTGGTCCTACATTGCCCAGCAGGGGTGGGCTCCGATTACAGAGCTTCCCAGGGGTCCAAGGATCTAAAGTCAGGTTTAGATTTCTGCTCCTCCCTCCTCAGCATCCACAGGCTGGGACAGGTGCGCTCAGCTCACCGGCTTCACGATGGAGCCCAGGACTCTGCCTCCCAGCTCAGCCCCGGCTTACAGTCTTCCTATGCCGGTCACTCCAGACACCAGGGCGAGCCCGTGTCTGCCCCGGCAGAGAAGCCCCCCGAAGCCCTGCCCGGCGGCCACGCAGGCCGATGCGCTGCAGTACTCACTCTGCTCTGACGGGTACTCTCGGGTCGGCAGGTACACTGAGGGACGGCGGTTCTGCGAACGGGGAGCGGTGGGTTAGCTGGCAACCCTCACCCTCCGGGCAGTGATACCACCCCCAGCCCCACACTCACCGAAGCCTTGCACACGGAGTCCGCGTGGAACCTGCTGAAGTTGCTCTTGTTGTAGACGGGCAAGCCTTTCAGAAAGTCTGCCTGGAGACAGGGTGGGCATGAGGCCTCGGATGCTGCTGAGGACACACCTGGGCTCTTTCCTGCCCGGTGTTCCGGCACCAGAGACGCACGGAGTCTCGCGTGGCCTGAGGTGGCCCGTGTGTTATTTTTCTACATCTACGCACTGTGCTATGCATGTTCGTGTGGGGGAGGGTAATGCGTACCTCTACGTGCTCCTCCTTCCACCAAGTGGGTCCCCACCAGGCTGGGCTGCAAACACTGACCTGCCCCCACTATCTCCAGCCCAGAGCTGTCTAAGGCCCACATCCACCGGGCCAGCAGCGCTTGGCTGCCACCGACAGAGTGGGACCTTGTCTCAAAACAATAATGAAGGTGGGCGGTGGTGGCCACGCCTTTAACCCCGAGCTCGGGAGGCAGAGGCAGGAGGATCTCTGTGAGTTCAAGGCCAGCCTGGTCTACAGAGCGAGTTCCAGGACAGCCCAGGGCTACACAGAGAGGCCTTATCTAAAAAAAAAAAAACCAAACAAAACAAACCAAAAGAAACAATAATGAGAGACTATCAAAGATGGGCTCCGTGGTGCACACCCGTGCACGCCCAGTGTCGAGCACTCAGGTGGGTGGGGCAGAGGCTGGAGACCCGTCAGTCAGAAGGCTGTCCTACAACACGTACCCCGGGGCAGGTAACTGTGTCTTGAGTCTGCCTAACTCAAGGAGGCAGCCAGAATATTTGTTCATTCTCTAAATGTCACTGGGTGAGCCCCCGTGACATTCCTAAGGTCCTCTGGGCCAGCTTCCGGGGAAGCAGAGGTGCCTGCATCAGTGGCTACACTCTCCTATGCTGGCCTGGAATGTGGCCAGACAGCCTCAGTGTCCTCACTCTCTGCCTTGTGACATCCTGCTCCGGGGCCAGCTCATTGTCCCAAGAGTTGCTCGTGACCAACCCAGGGTGCAGGTTCTAGGTTTCCCCCTCTACACATCCAGGGTTCCCTGGCCAGACCCTTGCTGCACCCTTGAGGGGGAGGGTGGGGCTCCAGAGAGGAAGAATCGAGGTATGTGGGCCGTTAGCCCAGAGGACGCTGTGTGGCTTGGCGGCAGAGGCCAGGTTAGTCTGGGCTCGGGAGCATCCCTGGGGCAGCCATGCAGAGGGGAGCCGGCCCTTAGTGCCCACAGCTGTCAGCCCAGGACGGTTTGGAGGTGGAGCTAACTTTGGCTCCGCAGGGACACCCTGTCTCAAAATAAGCAATCTCAACTATTCCCCACCAGCCCTGGCCAGTCTGATCTCTCTGGCTTGCCATGCGGCGTGTCAGCCTTTCTCTATCTGAGACACACCCTACAGCTCTCCCACTAACTCAAGCCACTTGTCCGAGCTGTGCTCAGCGCTTGTCTGGAGCACAACTCACGCCTCCCTAGGGCCACAAGCTGGGCCCTGGCAGAGTCTAGAGAAGACCCCCAGGACCTCCAGGACAAATCCAGTGCTACTGCTGGCTAAGTGACTTGGGTGAGACTTCTGAGCTGGCTTCATCCCCTGTACAGTGCACTGCCACCTCCAAGTATAGCTAAGAGTGGCAGTCAAGACGGGCAGGGCAGAAACCGGGGACAGAGGTCCCTCAGGGCAGGGCAGGGTCATGCACCTGTCCGCACCTCTAAAAGACAGGACCTCCTCAGGCCGGCTGGCAAACCACGCTGCAAGACACAGGCCACCCCTCGCGGGCCTTCGGGGTCAAGGGGAGCTGTGCTCCAGGGGTCCTGGGACGGCGGGGACTTGGGAGCAGGTGGGGACGAGGTCACAAAGGAGGGCATTGTCCCCCGGAGTCCGGGGCAGACTCAGCACAGGGAGCCCCAGTGATGCTGTTAGTGAGAAAGTGTACACCCCGCTTCTAGGTGGATTAGCGAAGGGCCGGGAGGGGCCGGCCTCTGGGAGGTCGCAGGCTCAGGAGCGCGGGGGTGGCACGGGAGACCCCTGGTGTGGGGAATGAGGCTGAGAGGCGGCGCGGGGGCCACAGCCGTGTCCCTCCAGGAACGGCTCCTTGTGATTCATCGCCTCTTCTCCCAGCGTAGGCTGGGATCTGGGGTCTAAAATCGCCCCTGCCCATCCCTGAGGTGTGGCCTCCACACCCCGGCTAGAGACAAAGAGCCCCAACCCCAGAGAGCCACGGGGACCACGACCCCCCCTCTCTGGAAGGCTGGGGGCTTCGAGGGGACGCTGTCCCCCGCCCGTCTGGGGGCGGGCCCCTGTGCCAGCCTCTGACGATGCCCCACGCTCACGGGTGGGCGCCCGGATTTTGCAAACAGGGAGACGAAGCCGTTCCCTCTTTAGGGACAAGTGTGGGCTCGAGGCAGAGGGAGAGGGGTGGGGACCCGGGAAACGGGTCCGGCGCGATGTCGCACTTCCCTCAGTGACAAAGCCCGCAAGACACTGTGACCAGCCCGTGGCCGCCCAGGCCCGCCCCCCCAAACGCCCGGAACCCGAGGAGCCGCGTCGAGGACCAGCCCGGAGCGGGGGTCTCGAGGGACCCCACCCCACCCCAAGCGATTTCCGGGGGGGGGACAAGAGACAGTCGCGACCCGGAAATGAATGAGTTGTCAGGGCCTGGACGCCCACCTAGGGTCAGGGGTCGCGGAGAGGGTCGGGGTGGGGTCCGCGGGAGCCCGCGGAGGGGCCGGGGAGGGGCGGAGGTCATAGGTCAGCGCGAGGGGCGGGATCGGGCGGGGGGGGGGGGGTCGGGGCCAGAGCGAGGCCGCGGACGCCACGCCGGGCAGAGGGCGGCCGCTCGGCTGCGCTCACCATCGTCCACGTCCGCCGCCCCGGCCGCCGCCGCAGCCTCCGTCCCCGTCTCTGCCGCACAGCCGCTTCCAGCCGCCGCGCAGCTCACGCCGATGGCGACGGCGCCGCGCGTCATTGGCCCGCGGGCTGGCCCCGCCCTCCGCCACATCCGCGTCCGGCGCGCTCCCATTGGCCGGCCCGTACGCACGCGCGTTGCCATTGGCCTCCACAGCTCCGCCTTCCAAAGAGTCGTCGAGTTCGGTTGACGGGGCGAGCCCCGCCCAGGACTCGAGATGCGAGGGACTGGCGACCGGAAGTGGGCGGGAGCTGCGCGCGAAGTCTCCTGGGAGTTGTAGTTCACAGCTCGCTCGTGGCCCCGCAGGTCTCCTCTGGCTCTGGGGCTGACTTAGCTTTTCCTACGAGGGCCTCGCTGTCACGAAGCCACCGAACTCCCGGACTCCTCCGCTGGGTCTCGACCTACAGATTCTTACTCATTTTATTTTGAGGTCGCTCCACGGTCTCATAATACAGACTGACTTTAAATATGTGACGGTCCTCCTGCCTCAGTTCCCCAAATTCCTGGAATGGCAGGTGTGAAGATTTTGTTATTGCTTTAGGTAGGGCTAACATGGATTTAAGAAAGTGTAAAAAGCCAGGTGGTGGTGGCACATGCCTTTAATGTCAATTCTCTCGGATGTCCTGTTTCTGACAGAACTTTCTAGATAAATGGCAGCTTTTTCACTTCTTAGAAATCTAACAGCTTTCCAGGTGGTAGCGGTGATTCTCTGAGTTCGAGGCCAGCCTGGCCTACAGTGCGAGTTCCAGGACGAGCAAGACTACACAGAGAAACCCTGTGTCAGAAAAACCAAATTGGAAAAAAAAATGAGAATAGGAGGGGCTTTAAGGGAGAATACCCGATTCTAAAACGTTGTTATATAAAATATTCATATTGTGTGTGTGTGTCATGGTCTTGATGTAAAGACGACAACTTTTGGGAGTTGGTCCCATCCTGAGGGTTCTGGGGATTAAACTCAGGTCATCAGGCTTGATATGAGCTTTCAGTAGGTAATCTGTCTATATAGCCTAATTTCATGTATTTTTCTTTCTTTTTTTTTATGACAGTGTTTCTCCATGAGATCTGCCAGCCTCTGCCTCCCAAGTGCTGGGTTTAAAGGTGTGTGTCTATTTCATGCTGGGAGTAAAGGCTTACTCTGCTGCCACCACCTGGCTTTCAAACTTGAATTTTCATCATCTTTGAACTAGCTACCAACCTTGAACTGACAGCTCACACTATATTAAAAAAGCAAAGCCACAATAAAAACACAAACTTGTGTTTATGTATTGTGTATGTGCGTGTGTACCCACGCACACCTGTGGAGGCCAGGCTTGGCACTGCGGGACGTCATGGCACCCAGCCTACTGACCCGTGTACAGCATTTCATTGCTGTGTGCCTGACGAACGTGCTGACGGCAGCCCTGTGGACCAGGCTTGCTTTGCCCGCCTCCCCGTGGGCTCCGCAATCAGCTCAGGTCCCCAGGCGCCACCAGCCAGTGCTTTACCGGCCGAGGCGTCTCACCGGCCTGGCCTGCTGTGCAGCTGAGGTGAGAGAGAGGCTGGGGTTGCAGGTGTGCGCACCCAGGATTTAGGGGCCCAGGGGTGGAGCTGGGAGCCTCCCCATGCTGGCTACCATCTGCCAACTGAGCTACCGCCTATGTGCTCCAGTTTATTTTGTGACAGGTCTCTCACTGACCCTGAAACTGGACCCGGGGTCTGCCTGCCTCTGACTCCCAGGGCTGGGGTCACAGGTATGTCTGGCCTTTTGTGGGTATGAGGTGTGAACTCAGGTCATAAAGCTGGCCCTGCAGGGACCGTACTCACTCAGCTCGTACTGCGTAGTCTATGCCAACTTGACCCAGCTTGAGTCCTCAGCGAGGAGAGAGCCTCAACTGAGAAAACAAGCCTATGGGCAGTTTCTTCCCTCCCTCTTCTTTTCCAGACAGGGTTTCTCTCTAGTGCTGGCTGTCCTGGAACTCACTCTGTAGACCAGGCTAGTCTTGAACTCAGAGGTCTGTCTGCTTCTGCTTCCTGAGTGCTGGGATTAATAGTGTTCACCACTACAGCCTAGCTAGACGTTTTGCTAATTACTGATTGCCGGGCATGGCCCAGCCCATCGTGGAAGGTTCTACCCGGCTGGTGGTTCTGAGTGTTGTAAGACAGCAGCTGAGGAAGAGGGACAAGCAGTGAGCAGCGCCCTCCACGGCCTCTGCATCAGCTCCTGCCTCAGGGTCCTGAGCTGAGCTGGAATACATGCTTTTCTCCAACAGGTGCTTTTGATAGAAGCCAAAAATTAAAAAATGTAAGACTGGGTGCTCTTGAACTTGCTGCAAGGATGAGGATGGCCTTGAACTCCTTACCTTCCTGCCCCCATTGCATGCTGGGACACCTGCTGTGGTTCCCTAGTGGCCCGAGGTTTTAGTTCTACCTCAGGAGTCCAAATTCCGGGTCCCTTTGGCTTCCTGCACCCATGTGGGGACTCACCCCCAACCAATCCCTCCTGAAGACTCAGACCCTTCCTCCAGGAAGTCTTCCCTGACGGCCCTGTTGTCAGGGCCAAGCCACGGGCATAGCCTCTTTCAGGGTCCTGTGGTCCCTACGGTAGCTTTCAGATCTGATCCCCGTGTGTCCCGACTGCCCTGCTGTAAATCCTCACTACCCGCCAGACAGAGTCCCTTGGTGACAAGCCAGGGCCGGTGACGCGGCTCAGCAGGTGCCTGAGTGCATCCCAGGGATGCACACCGAAAAAGGACAATCAGTTGCTAACTACAAGATGGCCAAACGGAAATCAGCACTTGGTGTGGGACACGGAGCCTCGCCTCACAGCAGAGGCTCCAGATCTCTGACCCCCGAGACGGGACACACGCAGCAGCACCTACAAACGCGAGTGTTTATTAGCGAGCCCGGCTCGCAAAGATGCCTTCAGAAGCAGGCACAGAAACCGCTGAGACGGCTGTGGGTTGGGGGACGCGGGGATGCCGGGGCTCGGCCAGTTCTGAATTCTTCATGCTCCAAAGCCCGCGAAGGCGCGGGCCCCCAACTGTCGGCCTCCGAGGCTCCTCAGTGGCTCAGGGACTTGCGCCCCTTCAGCATGCGGCGGAGGATGACCTGCACGCCGCCCGGGGTGCTCAGCCGGCGGACCCAGCCGTGCTTGTGCTTGCGTTTCAGGTTGCTGGGCTGGTACTCGTTCCCGCGCGTGCGGCCACGGGCTTGCTGAAGGGAGGGGAGGCCCCAGGCGTCCGGGAGCCCCATCCAGAGCCTGGGTTGGAGCCACCTGTGGGACCAGAGAAACGGAGAGATGGATGCTGTGTGACCCCGGCGCGTCGCTCAACCTCTCTGAGTCTCAGCTTCGTAATGCGCAGGGCAACAAAACCGCTTGCGTGCAAAAGACGCTACCGAAGTGTGCGTGGTAGTCGAGAGGTCACCCTTGCTCCCAGATCTGGAGCAACGCACCCTCTGAGCACTCACCTGCCACCCAACTGGGCCACCGATCTGCAGGCGGGGCACCCAAAACTTCGGCCTAGGAAAGCCATGTCTACACTCAGTCGCTCAGTCCCGGCCGCCGCCAGTGCCTAGACCGCGGGCTCCGCGACAATGCCTTCTGGGAAATGTAGTTTCAAGTGTTGCTGCGAAGCACCCCGGGAGCTGTAGTTCCACGCCTGCGCATGCGATAAACTAGAGGAGGCCGGCCTCAGTGGAGTGTAGTTCTTCAAAATGACCAGCAGGAGGCGAGCGAGCGGCGACTTCTCAATCTGCGCGTGCGTACCGCATCCTGCCTGCGTCTTCGGGGAGTTGTAGTTGTTCTCCTCGGCCGCTGGTAGGGGGCGCCCCGGGGTGGCGGTGACGCTGCTGGCCTTTGCAGTCGCCCTCACTGGGGACCGGCAGCTGGCACGCAGCCGGCTGGCGGCTTCTCCTGTTGGCGCGCAGCCCGGACGTCCTTGAGTCCTAGCTCTTCGCCATCTGGGAAACGCATGCGTTGCGAATCTCCCTGGCCAGTTTAGTCCGTGCGGCTGCAGCTCGGGGCTGCGCACTCGCCGCTCACACCCCCTCCCTGGTTCCCCTGCAGGCCTTGCACACGAGCGTCTCTGAAGTGGCCGCTGTGCTCTGAGCCCTGCCCACCCGTGTCGAGCGCTTGCTGTGTGCAAGGGGCGGTGGCGACTGTCCGGGCTGCACCAAGGCCGGGGAGGGGGCGGGGCGCCCCCGGACCCCGCCGCCGGGACACAACCCCTACTCGCCGGCTCCCCAGCTCCGACACTTGTGTTTCATTCCTAGGGCTCGGGCCTGACTCGGCCTCTTGTTTTGAATCTCGGTTTCCCCATCTGGAGGGGCAGGGATTTGGGAGTCTGTCTGCAGAACGGAAAGGCCAGCAGAGACGGGCACCCCCGCTGCCCAGGCGGAAGCGGGCTGGGGAGACCCAGTCCGGGGCACCACCCGCTTCCCCCGGGCTGCAAGCCCTTTCGGGCCCTGGCGCCGGCCCTTCCCTCCCCCGCGTCCCCAAGCCCTTCGCAGGGGCGGGGCTGCTGCTCGCAGAGCCCGCTAATCCTGGAAGCGCAGCCTCTGGTTGGGCGGTTATCTAGGACAGGCTGGCTCGCGGCGACAATAGGCCGAGATGCCCGCCCATCGGCTCGAGGCCCGTCCCGCGCTGGGCGGGACTTACAGGGCCGGTTTGCTGCGCGGCTGCGGGATGCCCCTTCGCTGACCGCCCCGGGCCCGCGCCTGCCCGCGCTCATGCGGCCGATCCCGCACCACCATGTAAGCGGCACCCGCAGGTGGACGCCGGCTTCCCCGCCCGGGACCCCTGCGCCCTGTGTCGGGCCCCGGGCCCCTCGATGACCTCAGGTGAGTTGCATCTGCTCCCTTAGAGAGGAGCCTCTGGGCTGCTAGGCCTCCACTTGGTGGTGGTGGTGGGGGAACCGCTGCCTCCGCATTCGCGATGCTAGGATGCTGCGGAAGCCCCGTGGCCTTGACCCCACCGCGGGGATGACGAGCGCCCGGGAGAAGCGGGTGGCACTCTGAGGAGGCAGGACTGACACTGCGCTTTAGAGAGGCCTCGGCCGTCGGGGTTCCGGGGCCCTAGAGGTGGGGTGCACGGCCTGCTTTTCCTCAGGTGCATCCAGGGCCACCACGAGCGGGTGCTTCTCAAGCACCACCCCAGCGGTGCCCGGGCCGGGAAGGAAGAATGAAGCTGGCCCCATCCCCGTGCCTCAGACAATGGGGGTGCGCCGCACTGGTATCCCCTGGAGTTATGTAACCGCCTACGGTTGTCATGGTCACGGGGGGGGTGGCCAAGGGAACCGGATGGAGGCCCAGAGGCCCCCAGTCAGGTCCTGACTTCGTCCTCCGGGTTGCCACTGGGGGTTGTGTGGCCACCCCTCAACGTAGGGCGTCAGGGTGCTGCTGAGGGCAGCCGCCTCCAATCATGCTCATTGCTGTGCTAGCTCAAGCACCCTCCCTCCTGGACCTGGACTGGGTACACCTTCAGCGTCCCCGTGGCCAACATCCTTCCGTAGCCTCGTCTTTGGTTGGTCAGATTCACAGCCAGGGTCCTGAGCTGGGAGCTTTAACTCTGTGGGACAGAAGCCAGGCTTGGTGGTCTGTTATCTAAGCGGCCAGGAGCCTGGGGCACAGGGTTGAGGCCTGAGCTACACAATGAACCCTGTGGAAAAGAGTGGGGTGACGGGGCTTCACGCCAGTCATGCCGGCACGGGGAGACGCAGAGGCAGGAGGATTGCAAAGAGTTTGAGACCCGTGTCTGCCCAGAACTACAAAATGAGACCCGGTTTCAAACCAAAACCCAGGATTCGTGTGTTGATGCATGCCTGTCAACCCTTGGGGACGCCGGGGGCGGGGGGGGGGAGGACTGCGCAGTCTGAAGTTCCCCTGGCCTTTGGAGACAGTTGTGATAGGAATAAAGAAAGCACGCTTGCGTGCCCAGCCTGCTACAGCCCCAGATGTGAGACCCAGAGCAAGGTCAGTTTGGGCAGCACAGGGATTTCCAAGCCAGCCTGGGCTACATGAACGCCTTCCTCAAAAGCAAGCAAGCAAATCAGCTTGAATGCATGGTTGCATAAATCCGTATGTGAATAGATGAGGGCAAACATGTTTGCTTGATGCATGCATGCATGCATGCACGATTGCATACAAAAAGCATGGATTTGTGAATGAATGAGCCTGGGATGAACTCCAGCTGGTGGAGCATGGGCGTCCTCAGGAATGGGCATTTTATTAATGTCCTCTCCCTCTGGAAGCCTCCATGCTGTCTCCAGTATCCAGGAACCCCGGGGAGGGGCCTCCGGGTCCTGACACCTGATGCATGAGCAGAGTCACCAACCCTGAGCTGGCTGCTGGCCCTTTCTCCCTGGCTCCAGGACACACCATGCTGACCGGGGTGACAGATGGTTTCTTCTGCTGCCTGCTGGGGACGCCCCCCAACGCCGTGCGACCGCTGGAAAGCGTCGAGTCCAGCGATGGCTACACATTTGTGGAAGTCAAGCCTGGCCGTGTGCTGCGGGTGAAGCACGCGGGTCCCGTGCCGATTCCCACGCCGCCACCGCCGCCGCCGCTTCCGGAAGACGACCCCGGGGTGAAGACCGGTCTCGTGCGCTGTCAGCGCCGCATCACGGTGTACCGCAACGGGAGGCTGGTGGTGGAGAACCTGGGCCGCGCTCCACGCGCCGACCTTCAAGGCCACAGTGGCTCCGGGGACCCGCCCTCTGCTCTTGAGGTGGAGCTGGCAGAGCCCGCAGGGGGTGACGCCCGGGCCACCCCAGGCAGTGGGCGGCGACGGCGCCTGCGGCGTCCCAAGAGGACCATCCACATCGACTGCGAGCAGCGCATCACCAGCTGCAAGGGCGCGCAGGCCGACGTGGTGCTGTTCTTCATCCACGGTGTGGGCGGCTCGCTCGCCATCTGGAAGGAGCAGCTGGACTTCTTTGTGCGACTTGGCTATGAGGTGGTGGCACCTGACCTGGCGGGCCATGGGGCCAGCTCTGCGCCGCAGGTGGCAGCTGCCTACACCTTTTACGCACTTGCAGAGGACATGCGGGCCATCTTCACGCGCTATGCCAAGAAGCGCAACGTGCTGATCGGACACTCTTATGGGTAAGACCCAGGGTGGGCTGCTCACAAAACACTCCCTTCCCCAAGGGGGGTAGGTTGAGAAAGGCTACATGTAGTCAAGGGTACCCTTAAAATCATTATGTAGCTGAGACTGACCTTGAACACCTGATCCTCCTGCCTGGCCATCCCAAGGATTAGAATGGAAGGCTTCTATGCCACCCCACCCAACTTCCCTCCTTGCAAAATGTGATTGGGTTGCCGTTGTGGCTCAGCGGTAGATCCTCCACCCAGAATCTCAGAGAGGAGGTGAGGCCGTGGCTCAGGGGTGGAGCTCCTGCCTAGAGTTTCCCAGTGAGGAGCTGGCGTTAGCGTGACACTAAAGCTCTGACCTAAATAGTGTTTGTTATTAGTGTCTGTCAGTGGGTCATCTCCATACTCAGGAGGTTGATGCTGGAAGGTAGCTGAAAATTTGAGGCCAGCCTGGGCTACAAAGTTACTTCCAACCTACGTGGCAAAAACTTGTGTTAAAGGCGGGTTTGATGGGGGGCTGGAGAGATGGCTCAGAGTTAAGAGCACTGGTTGCTTTTCCAAAGGTCCTGAGTTCAATTCGCAGCAACCACATGGTGGCTCACAACCATCTGTAATGGATCTGGTGCCCTCTTCTGGCCTGCAGGCGTACATGCAGGCAGAACACTGTATACATAATAAATTAATAATAATAATAAAAAGGTGGGTTTGATGGTGCATGCTTTTAATCTTAGCACATGGGAGGCAGAGGCAGTTGGATCTCTGTGAATTTGAGGCCAGCCTGGTCTACAGAGCAAGGTCAGTCAGGCCAGTCAGAGAAACCCTGTCTTGAAAAATGGCCAAAAAAAAAAAAAAAGGAGGAAAAAGAGGTTGGGGCATTATACTCACTCTGTCACCCCAGGACCTCCAAGACGGCTGTCCTGGAACGTACCATGTAGACCAGACTGACGTCAAACTCAGAGATCCATCTGCTTCTGCCCTGCCCCCCCCATGGGACTAAAGGTGTGTGCCACCATGCCCAGCCTAGAAATTAATTTTTTAAAAGCTGGGCATAGTGGGTCACGCCTGTAATCTCAGCACTTTGGAGTCTGAGACAGGGGCATTGTTATGGTCTCAAAAATATTTATTTTTTTTACCAATGTGGCAAATTGTCCACATGTTCCGGTAACTGTGGGACAGTATGATGTGTGTGTGTGTCCGGATGGTTAGGACACTCCTGCTCTGCCCCCTCTGGAGCCTTCAAGCTCTTGGGCATCTGGACACGGTGATGGAGCAGGAGCAGGGGAAGCCCTTGACCCTGGGAGTTCAAGGTCACCTTGGGACGCAGCACAGAGACTTGCTGTCTTAACAAGAACAACAAAACTAAATGCCACATGGGTGCAGCGGGCCTGCAATCCCGGCACTCCAAGGACTGGGGCAGGAGGATTGCTTTGAATTCCATGGTAGCCTGGGCCACACAGTGAGGCTGTTTGGGGAGGGGGTGGGGATCTGTGTGTGTGTGTGTGTGTGTGTGTGTGG